ATTCTTGTTAATTTTTTCAATATATCTTGGCCCATATTTTTGTTTGGTTGTAGATCTTACACATCCAAGCACCTCTCTAAAAAAATTGTAGTTTCTGATTTCGGTCTTTTTGATTTGATTGTATTTAGATTAGAAAAGTCATTAGTTTTGATGGACATGGAATAAAACAAACAAAACTCTACATGAGTTAAAGTGGAGGATAGGAATTTGAGTTGTTCTTCTCTACTGATTTGCGTTTCGAATTGTTTTTCTAATATTGCATTTGCCCAAATTGAGACTTTACTTCTTGCGGAAATCTAAGAATATTTTGGCAGTTTGCTAATGTTTCATCCTCCTCTCCAAAAGAAATGATATACGAGGGCTGAAATTTTTAGATTATCACAATTTTTAAAAGTAAGATGGCGCATGCAGATAAGTTTTCAAAATATTTTTTTTAGTGATTATTTCATCAAAATTATCTGAAATAATAATAAGAAAAAATATTTTCAAAGAAACTAATGATTTTATTATTAGTTTCTAACGACGGTCAATGGTTATATATATTTATCAAAACTTCTTCCTACACTAAACTCGACTCGAAACTGTAACCTGGGTGATTGGATTACAGTGTGGGAGGACCGCTTTGCTAGTGGCTTCATTATGGATTGGCTTGCAGTTTGTTACGAAAATAAGATGAATGAAAGTGAACGGAAATTTTACTATCATAAAAAAATTGGCATTAGGAAATTTTCTTACAAAAATATTAGAATGTGCAAACTATTGTTCGATGAATGTAATCAGTGTTAGATTCAAAAACATATACTGGATATGTATTAGCATCATTAGACGTTTTCACCAAAATGAAACATGTTTATGGGAAAATAGATAATCATAAAACATTATCTTTCGCACAAAACTAAGAAAAAAGTTGATGAAAGAAGAGTAGCATGTGCCTTGTTGGTCCACAAATTGCCTATGAACACTTCACATGTCTCTCTCTTTCCCTCACCCAAAGTCCCCATTTCATGAGTTTCCCATCATCTCTTTTCTTTAAAAGATATATTTCTTTTCTCTAAAAAAGTTAGGCCTATTCATAATTTATTAGTGATAATACCAATTATGTTCAGTACTTGATGATGAGTTTTGATGTACTTACATGTGAGCTTTTACGCGTTATACTTTTTAAGGACATGATATAGAAAGGTGGGTCGATATATACATTTGAATTGAAGGGTTATAGATGTTTTTGGACTTAGTCTTCATCAAATTTGGTTGGATTTGGGATTTTCTTTAATTAATCACACCTTTGGATAGTATCAATTACTGTTGCTTTATAGTTTTCATTTATTTATCACTATGCTATATATTACCATATTTACCTTTCTAATCCACTCAGAAAAAGAATGGTTTAGTTTATATATTGACAACAAAAATGGACGAATTAGTAGTTTATACACCCAAAGGAGAAGAGGAAAATGGGTCAATGGAAAAAAGAGCATAGAGGAGTAAAAAAGCAAAGGAGGGGCTATAGAAGTAGTGATTAGCAACACTTGCCTCTCTTAGCTCTAAGTTTAATTAACATTTTCTCTTCTATTTCTTATATGCTATGGAATCTTAGTGAGTCCCCCACCTAAGATCACATCTTCAATCATTTATAACACATGCACTTGGTATTAAAATTACGACACTAAGGTCTAAGTAAAACCTCTTTACAAAACCTAGAACTTTGAATCTTAATAATGAAACAATCTCGTTCACGCTTTTCGTTTATCACACCATCATGCAATAATCCCACTTAGCTTTAATGAATTTTATTTTCCGTCGCTAATTCGCTATAATATCGGGGATAAACTGAAATGACTCAGCTTGGTCACAAATTTTACTTGTTCACATTCTCTAGACTCTAATGATTCCAAAATAATTATTTCCGAGACAACTACTAAACTTATTAGTTCGATCGAAGTTTAAAAAAGTTTGTAGTGTATGTTATAAAATACTTTAGAAGTATATTTCCGAGACCTAAGATACTTGTACACATGTTCTCTCATTATCGCATTAAAAAGCATGGCATCTATGCGTACCTAAAGATCCATTTTGGTATATTAAGTAGGCAGATTTGTATTTCAAAATACATATATGTGTATATAGAAAGAAAGAAATCGAACCGAAGAATTCTTTATATACGTAACATGATTATTTGGGTTATTTGGCACCTATACTAATCTTGGAATGAATGAACATCACAGTAAGAGTAATATATAATCAGTAAAAATTAGTGACAGTTACGGAGTTAATTACCTCCTAATTTTAATATCATATATATTTGTAGTAAGAAAAAAAAGGGGATCTAAATTCTAATGATACAATCTATGTTATTGTTGACCCTAAACCCCATCCTCATGTTTATTTCCTTCCTCAACAAAGCAAACACTGAAAAGCGAATTGCTAAAAGCAGAAATAGTTCTCCCAGTTGATTTTTTTTTTTTTAAATATATTACATTATAAATGCTAGTGGCTTTTAAATTAATGTTCTTTTCAATGCTCCTAAACTATTTATAGTATATATTTGATTTTTCTGTAGCTAGCACACTCAAGTATTCAAATTTTTTCTCCATGTAGAGGTGAAGTTTACCACTAGGATAGATTAATATCCCCTCCAAGAGGTACCCTTTTAAGCATTCATGTTGGTATATATACTTGATTCTAGTATTATATTTTGCGATACATATGACTTTTTGATTTTATAATAATTGAAACAATTTTCACACCAAGATCGTTCTCATTAACATGTGATGAAAGCGAAGTCATCATAATCCAATATGTGCTTTATTCAATTGTTATCAATATCACTAATTAAATCTTCTGAATATTTGACACGTCTTCGTGCCAATTAGTTGCTATAGTTAAACAGAATATACAATACTCTTGTGTTAGTGGGCCGGGTAAGAGTTATCAAAATTAGAACAATGATAACTAACCACATGGTGGTGGGCGAGTGGTTCTCGTTTGGTTGGAAGGATCGCCCTGTTGGTCTAGGCCAGGGATCGATCCTCCCCAAACGCAGTTTCGCTCTCTCGCTCCTGTGGCCACCTGGGAATTTACCTGCGGACTTGCTCAGGCGCCCCAGACCACCAGTTTATCAGGGGGCCCTTAAGTGGAAGCTTAAAAATCCCTGTGACGCGGGCTTAGGCCCAGTGGGCTAGTCAGATCACTGTGTGGTCTGGATACTGGGTTATCAAAAAAAAAAAAAACAATGATAACTTTGTCGCATTAACCTGTGTCCTTGGGATAAATATTTGATTTAGGATAATTAATGGTAATGACGTTTTAGAGCAGTTAGCATTCAAACTTTTCAAAGTACATGGTAGATATGGTATTCAAAAGTTCTAGGCTAAATTCAAAAGTATATGAAGAAATCCTTACAACAGAAATTGTAGATATGGAATTCAAAAGTTCGTTAAGTATAACTAAAAGCTGACACACCCTTTACATAAATGAGAATTGACATAAATTGTCAAAATAAATGAGCCAGGGCTGTGAGTATTTTAATTTATAGGTTACAAAACCTACAATAGCTAAATCATATAGCTGAAAATAATTCAAACCATATAAATATGACATTGAAACTAAATATATCACCTTAACTGTTGCAAGCATTGTTGTGTGTGCAAAATAGCAAAAATATTCGGTTCTTCCATAAGACTCTTGAGTATTAATCTGAAATTTGGACGGAATATTCGGGATATATTATTGTGTGTGATATTGGACACCAAACATTCAAACTCATAATAGATGAGTGGGATGAAGAAGATGTGTTGTTGATTTGACAAATCACGAGACAGAAGACATACCATATCTTAATAACAGTTTTCAGCTTCTGTCCAAAAGATTTAAGATGCCTCTCTTCCTCTTATTTGTCTCCTATTGTTTTGTATTTTAGTTATCACTCTCATAATCTGTACTTGATTGTGACCCGTACACATAATTCCATTATTACATCTTATTATTTTTCGTAGTTAACGTTAAATCGTACGTATCATATCCGCAAATTGATTTTGTCATTTACCCTCCAAATATCATTTCCTTTTTCTCTTCTTTTTTTTTCAAAGCAAATTAAGTTCTATTCCTCACAGGCCTTTTAACTTGGAAATTGAATTTATAAACTACCACACTAGTTAGTGCCCTTTCCTTTCAAAAGTGAGCCTATTTGGTACAATCATTTTTATTTAAAATAAAAAATCAGTAGTTAGTAATGTATACGGGTAAGTTTATTGAGTTATAACTTAGATGTGCCAACATATATTAGAGTTATACATTGATGATTGATTATCACGAAGAACTTCATCGGAAGAATAGCCAATAAAGATCTTATAGAATATGTAGAAGACAAAAAAGGAAAAGAATGTTAAATTTATCCTCCGACTGTTAATTTACCTCGCAACCAAAAGAACTACAAATGAAATAGTAACTTTTGTTGTGTCGGGGGGGTGACTAGATTTTGTGTCGTTGTGAAGAAAAGCTTAAAAACTCTTTGGATTTTAATTGGTAGTAATATATTAAAAAAAAAAAAAAAAAAAAAAAAAAAAGAAAAAGAAGAAGATACTCCTAGTTGGGGAAGTATAGCTAGCAGTCAAAGTCCAAAAAAAAAAAAAAGTTTACGGAAGACGAGGAGGGACACACGTGTGAGAGATGGTAAAAAGTGTTCTGCAAAAATTCTGAGAATGTTAAAAAACAAAATTTATTCCTACTTTCATTTCCCAAAGTCTGAAATCTTTCCACTCGTGTGGGCCTTTGGCTTTCCTTTTCACTGTCAGACCTCCCCACGTGCGCCTCTCTCCTCTCTCAATCCATTTCTTCCATTATTCCCTTTTTCCTTTATACTACAGTACTATTTTTGCAATTTTCATATCTGTAATGCTGATAGTTGGATAATATTATTGATACCAATATGATGCCATTACTATATAGTTTTGGATATCCCCCAACAATTAATTTTTTTCATAACTAATAATACTTAAATAAAAAATATCAAACTTTTATTGTTCTCACAAAATCTCTCTGTTATAAAAAGCATAACAGAACCATATGTACCAAAGATTGATAAAAATTTCAATATGATAAGCTAAGGTAATCAGAAAAATGTGAACACAACAAACTTAAAGAAGGACACCATGTACAAGCCTCATAGATAGGAGTATACAACAATTGAAACATGATTACATGAATACAAACAATTTTGATTTTTACCTCAATGAAGCTTGATTGAAAGCTTTAGTTGATTTCATACACCATTCTCTCTGAAAGCTCGGCTCCCACAACCTTGCGGTAGCTTTGTAACATCGGTTCCAGTTGCTTCCGGCCTACAGGAGTTATGATCTGCCGCATATCCTTTCAAATCCAATTTTTTTGTTTTGTTGTCATCAATATGACGAGAGTTTGATAATTGTTAATAAATACCCCAATTAGCAGCCTTAACGATAATTCAAAAAGAAACAAAAAAAAGAAGTTTGATATACCTTGTATCTATATTGGGATCCATAAAGACTGATAAGAATGTTGTTAATGTCTTTATCTTTGGATCCAGGGTCTGACTCAATATGAGAGTCCTCTATTTCAATCTCATACATTTCATCATCCTCATCCTCATCCTCATCATCATCATCATCACTGCAGCCCATAAAATTATCATTCGTCTCCCCTTGTTCCATGTCTTCATGTTCACTTGCTGCTGGTTCCGCTAGAGTTTCAGAACCAGGAGCTAGTATAGAACATTGATTCTGTGAAATGGCGATATCAGACAAGATGACATATGGCTTTTTATCGAGCATCGGCCTTGTTACTTCAAATGGAACCCACCTGGAAACACAACTCCGAGTGTTAAAAAACTTACTTTTACCAGTCTCCTCACTTCAATGACATGTCTAAGAAGAGGACATAAATATCTTTTTACAGGTACCAGAACTTCATACGAGATGAGATCATTGATAAGCTAAGGCATAGAGTAAAAAAAAATAAGACTCAGTTTGGTGGTAACTTACTGGAAACGAAGAGGACATAGAAGCTCAGATGGACGATAGGCTGCTTTATATCTCATCTTCCTGCAGGAATGTATATAATAGCCAAGGTAGTAATAATGAAGAGAAGGGCAGTGAGCTTGGTTTTCTGTAACCCAATTAATTTCTTGCAATGCAGAATATTTCCCGAGGGATAAGAATGCATAGTCTGGATCCCAGAATAAGTATACACTTGACAAACATTTAGGAAGAATGTCTACAACCCCGACAGCAATAAGACGCCCATCAACTCTATATTGTTGGTGGAAAGAGCCGAAGCCACAAGGCGGAACCTTTTCATCACCTGAAGGTTGAACGTCTATTAAAGGAGAGTCGACCAAAAACCTTCTGTAAGAACTTTCTGCTACGTGCTCTGGCTTATCATTGTGCACTTTTAGCTGATACCGTTTGTATAACTCATGTTCTTCAGGATCAAAACTAGACCTTTTCAAATGTATCTCCAGCTTTCGCTTTCTTGCCTGATGGTTTTCTGAATCCTTCTTAGTGCGAAGGGTTTCACTTCCACCTGTTGAATTGGCTCCTCTCGAGATGTCACCATTAGGTACAACATCTCTATCAGAGAAAGAATCTTTGGCAGCTGAAAAAAAATTGATATGGCCCTTACAGACTTTAATAGACATATCATGAGTTTCCCCCACCTTATGCATCGCACTCAACAACATCTCAGAAATAGTTTCAGGTGATAATCTGTTTCCTTCTGCACTATTTATTCCCCCTTTCTCAGATGTCTGGGTGCGTTTTATTGCAGCTGCGATTGGAAAAGCAATGTTGCTGGTGTATAAGAGTTGTTCTGTTCCTTCAGCTAGTTTCTTTCTTCTAGCACAGAAAACCTTCTTCACTGAAGCTTTTGGTATCTGCATATCAGAAGGGAATTCTCCACTCTGTATGTATAATTGCACAGCTTGGTCAATTTTTTTAGACAAGTCATCTATAATTGGTTCAACTTTATTCTTTTCTTCACTCTTGGCAGCTCCAAATGTTTTCCTCCTTGCATCTGAAACTTCACCAGAGGAAGAAGCACCTGTGTGTTCCCTGGGCTGCACATCGAGTTTGCCATCCAAGAACCTTTGACAAAACATTGTTAAGAAAAGTCAGTAAACTCTTCAACGAGTGACTTCATTAAAGAATATTTACACATAAACGAAGTAAAAATCAGACTCATATATCTCTCCTCATATGCAATAAGATGTTTCAAAGGCGAAACCTTTCTGAATCAGCCAATAACATGAACAATTAGCACCACTAAATCTATCATCTATTGATCCAAAGAAAGAGAAAAGAGAAGCAAAGTGAATCTATATGCACCTTTCTAGTCTTCTAGATACTCGCTGCTGTTCTTTAGTAGGAACAAAATCACTTGCTTTCAAACGGATCGTATAAGGAGGGCAACACGTTTTATCCATCTCATGTTTGTAAAGATAAGAACCAGATCGTCTCCAGCCTCGGTCAATAAGAGCTGCACATAAAAGATCTCTAACTCGTTATGAATAAAAGAGATAACTTTCAGAAATAGCTTCAACAAAATTTGTTCATCACACAAGAGTCTGAGAAGAACAACAACAAACCTTGGTAGTCATAAACGGTGAGAGTCTCTGCTGATAAACCTGCATTGATGAGAATGCAAAACATTCACTGAGTTCATCAATCTCATTTATTCATCGGAATTTTCAGATCATAAACAAAAAATCAATTTTTACAATTCGATTCTACTCTAGTCGTAATCGTTGGATTCAACAATCTAGTCCGTAACAAAAGCAAAATTAAACGAACCGTGAGAGGTACTGGACCGAGCTGGGGATTTACAGTAGCCGCAAGTGCTTCTACGGCGGCCATGATCATCGATTACGCTTTCTCCGTTGCTTCCGCCGTCGTGGCTACTACTCGCATCGTTTTTCAAAGACATAATCGGCGATTAATCACAAGAAATTTGCTAACCTCTTTCCTTGCGGAGAAGAGGAAATGATCTTTCTTTCACATTTGACTTTTTTTTCAATATTTTGTTATTAGAGAAACATTGTTGCTGAGTCAGCAATGCTGACTGTTTTAGCAAATTAAAAAAAAGACCTAAAATACAAGAAAATAAAAAGTCTAACTTACAAGTTACGCAATTGGCCAAATAAATTAAAAAAAATCTTTTTAAAAATTGTTGGAGAAACATTGTTGGCTGTTTTAGCAAAAAAAACTGAAAAAAAAAAAAACTTAAAGACCTAAAATACAAGAAAATAAAACTCTAACTTACAAATTACAATTAGCAAAATTAAGTAAATTTAGTTTACAAACTACCCTTAAAACTTCTTCATAAAAATTATAAAAGTTTTATAACTATAAACTGTAAAAGAGATATTTTTGAAAATTTACTTAACCGGTATTTTTGAAAAACACCTAATATATGTGTAACTTTTGAAAATACCTCCAAATTTGAACCAACAATTTCATTCTTGTTTGTAATTTATAACATGGCTTAATATCATCTATTTTTCTTTTGAATTTTCAAAAGTTACACATATATTAGTTGTAAAGTTTATAAAGTTTTCAATTAGGATTATTTGTAAAGTTTTTAAGAAAACATAATAAAAAAAAAATATCATCTATTTTGCTGATTTAGCAAATTGAAAACCCCAAAAAACAAGATAATAAAATTCCCAACGTTGCAAGTTATGCAATTGGCAAAATGAAGGGGGTGTTATGTAATTATAAATAGAATAGGGGAAGAGAATGCAAAATCAAAACATTTTGGGGCAAAAGATAAACACGAAAAAAATAATGGAATCGATCAACAGATTTCGATAGCATCCGCAGATTTGGATCAAAACCCTAATTCTCCAGTTCAATCGTCGGAAATGGCAAGCCTGTGGCGAGCTGTAATCGGCGGTCAGAGCAACAATTCCGACGACTACGGAGGCGTAGAGTTCTGGTCTAACCCTGAACGAACCGGATGGCTCACGAAACAAGGAGAGTACATCAAGACTTGGCGACGCCGATGGTTCGTGCTCAAACAAGGGAAGCTCTTCTGGTTCAAAGACTCTGATGTCACGCGCGTCTCACGCCCTCGAGGTGTCGTCCCCGTCGCGTCGTGCTTAACAGCCAAAGGAGCAGAGGATGTCCTCAACAAGCAAAACGCGTTCGAGCTATCGACGAGAGATGAGACTATGTACTTCATCGCTGATTCGGAGAAGGAGAAAGAAGATTGGATCAATTCCATTGGACGGTCCATCGTGCAGAACTCTAGATCTGTTACCGATTCTGAGATCGTCGATTATGATAACAAACACTAAGTTTCTTGATTTCTCTGTTTTTGTCATTTGTGTCAAAATGTAAAATCCGACCAAATCAAGAAATGAAAAGGCTTTGTCTCTGCTTGTAATCAAGAAATATACACATTATTCCAAGCTTTTAAAGCCTCTGTTCTCGGGCACATTTAGGCTTGAAAACATGAACTCATATCCGAAAAACATATATATAAAACCTAATTCTTCAAGGGAAACTCTTCTAGTTCAAAGACTTATGGTTCTTGAAACATTTAGTTACCAAATAGGGAGATTTCACAGTTTAACAAAAATAAACATGGATGGCAACAAAAGCAATATCTTTTCGATGTAATCAAAAATACAATTACATCGTCGTCGTATAGACTAAGATATATAGTAAGATGCATGTATGGAAAGTTCCTCTCGTCATTAATTGTCCTAAACCCTACCCGCTTCCATACAGGGCCGGGTCTGGAAGGAACAACAAAATACCTAAAACCCCTCTCGTCTTCTTCTTCTTCTTGTTCGAGTCCGACACTCAGTCTTGAGAAACATTGCAAGAGGGGAAAAATCCATCTTTTTCGTTTCTTAGAAACCCTAACTTGGGAATGTAAGTATTGATTTCCCACAACAGTTTTTTTCTCTTTCTTTTAAGGGTTTTTTTTTAACTAATTAGGTTTCGCAGAAAACAATCAATGTAAGCAAGCCTTGTGTAAATTACAGGTCGAGAATAATCGTTAAGAATCTTCCTCCCAAATATGTGACAGAGGATCGACTTCGAGATGTCTTTTCAAAAAAAGGAGAAATCACAGACGTGAAATTGAAGCGTAAGAGGTATATACTTGTACATTCAAATCGAGTGTTTTTCACAGCTAATTGTTGTGTCTTATATACTGTATGTTGGAATCACTATATGTATGTATATCGTTTTTTCTTTTGCAGTGATGGCAGAAGTAGACAATTTGCTTATATTGGCTTTCGTACTGAACAAGAAGCTCAAGATGCTATCACATATTTTAATAAGTCTTTCATTGATACTATTCAAATATCTGTTGAGGTAATTAATTTTCACTTAATTCACTTGTGTAGTACTAGTTTGAATTATCTAATTTAGATTCTCCTTTAATTTGGCATATAGGTTGCGATCCCTCCTCCGAGGAAAGAAGGCAAGGTTAATGAAAATAGTGAACATGTTTCTAATGCTTATGCTAAAGCAGACAAAAAGTTTAAGAAGAAAGCAGAGGCTGATCATGATCCTCAGCTTCAAGAATTTCTTGATCAGCATAAGTTGAAATTCTGGTCCAATGACATGTGTATTCCTCGTTCCACCGGCAAAGAGAAGGTCTCGCCAGTAATTTTTTCTAATGGTGCTGATGAGCCTAATAACAAAGCCAAAATATCATTATTAGATACTACAGAGAATAAAGTTGGTGATGATGTTTCTGATATGGAATACTTCAAGAGTCGGATAAAGAAAAATCTGTCGTATTCGGACAGTGATTATGAAACTGATAGTCGTGAAGATGCAATTCATGCTTTTCCTATTGATGGAGATATTGAAGCTGACAGAGTTGATAAAGATGATGATGATGCCGATGAAATGGAGATAGAAGTTGCTCAAGAACCGAAAGCTGACAGTGATGATGTTCTTGACACTGGTCGCCTTTTCGTCCGAAACCTGCCTTACACTGCAACGTAATGGATCTTTTTTTGTTTGTCTTTTCTTTCTTGTTTCCTGATTGTCCTTTGTGTTATTCATCTCTATTTGTTGTAAAACAAATCTCATGAAATAGAGAAGAAGAGCTTACGGATCATTTCAGCAAATTCGGTGAAATATCAGAGGTCCATCTTGTTCTTGACAAGGAGACAAAAAATTCCAGAGGAATGGCCTTCGTCCTTTACCTGATACCGGTATATGCAAAAAGGTAACATAATTCATACCAATTAAAAAGTTCTAAGTGCATGCTTTTCAAGAAGTAGCCTTATGTTGATCTTTAGCTGTTAGTTCAGGTTTTAAATCGTTAATTTGGATGATGTTTCAGGGCAATGGAGGAATTAGATAACAAAGATTTCCAGGGGCGGCTGTTGCATATTTTACCAGCTAAGAAGCCTGATAAACAAGTGTCAGTGACCAGTTCTATGTTTCGGTCTTCAAACTTGTAATATTTTGTTTGTGGACTAGAATTTTCATCAGTTGTTGTTTATCATGGCTTTCCCCAACAGAAATAACTCTTCGAATCTGCCAAAAGCATTCAAGCAAAAGAGGGAGGAACAAAGAAAGGCGTCTGAAGCCAGTGGAAATACAAAAGCTTGGAATAGTTTTTTCATGCGACCCGATACTGTACCTTTTCTTGTTTCAAGAATGCATCCATTTTAAACCTGGCTTTTTGCTTTGCTTCATGTTTGTTTTTTTTCTTTTTGTGTTGTAGGTCGTGGAAAACATAGTCAGGTGTTATGGTGTAACAAAGAGTGAGTTTCTTGACCGTGAATGCGACGATCCTGCAGTACGACTTGCTTTGGGAGAAACAAAAGTGATTATGGAGACCAAAGAAGCACTTGCTAAAGCTGGAGTACGTGTCACCTCTTTGGAAGAATTTGCTGCACGGAAAGGTGATATGAAGAACCGAAGCAAACATATTCTCTTAGTAAAGAATTTGCCATTTGCTTCCACTGAAAAGGAACTGGCTCAAATGTTTGGAAGATTTGGAAGTCTAGACAAAATTGTTCTCCCTCGGACGAAGACGTTGGCTTTGGTATTATTCTTTCAACGAATAGGTGATTCTTCTCTAACCTGTTCTGTTCTCTAACCTGTTCTTACATGAGTTTCAGGTTGTTTTCCTTAAACCGGCTGAGGCACGTGCAGCTCTGAAGGGAATGAAATACAAGCGTTACAAGTAAGCGTTAACGTTAAAGTCTAAAATCCTCTTTCTTTCTTCCCCTAAAGTGCTTCTTGGAGATAAATGATTGTCCTAGTTTAACCAAACTGCTTCATCACATTTCCTTATTATTACAGAGATGTTCCCTTGTATCTGGAGTGGGCTCCTGTAGATATTCTTGAGCCAAAAGCACTTCCTGATAACAATGAAAAGACGAGTGATGTTGAAGAAAATGATGTGAGAAGACTCAACTTGGATCAGCAGGTTGGAATCGATTCGGATATACCTGAGGTATGTCCACTTTATGATAGCTGTGGACGTTTTGTAATCATACGTTCTTCCTTTTTGTGTGGTATTGAACTAATTTATGTACGGGTTTAGTATTATATTTATGTTTACTGGCTTCAAGTTTTCTGATCAATCTTGTAACGTTTCCTTTAAATAATGCATTATATATCAGTCAAATGTCCTACATGTTAAGAATCTGAACTTCAAGACAAGTGAAGAGAGTTTGAAGAAACATTTGACTGAACTGGTGAAGCAGGGAAAGATTCTGAGTGTTAAGGTAAGTTCTTCTTCATTGCTGAGTGCTGACAGATGATGATATGCAGTTAACCATCATAAGTCTGTTTTTGATACTCCTTTCTTTTTCACTATAAAGCAGATAGTAAAAAATGGGAAGAGTCTTCCTCGTTCAAGCGGTTATGGTTTTGTAGAATTTGACTCCGTAGAGACAGCAACCAGTGTCTACAGAGATCTTCAGGTATATTATCTAGTTAAGTCTCTTTGACACTTGAAGTTGATTGGACTCCTTGAAGTAAGGTGACACTTTTTTGTTTGTTTGTAGGGAACTATTCTGGATGAGCATAAATTGATCTTGAGTTTCTCTGCAAACAAGCGGAGTGTAACGGTTGGGAAAGATTCAGACAAGGACACAGATTTACCAACGTTACATGTGAAAAATGTAGCTTTTGAAGCAACCGAGAAAGAACTAAGACAGCTTTTTAGTCCATTTGGACAGATCAAGAGAGTTGACCTTCCAATGAAGAATATAAGACAACATGCTGGTTATGGTTTTATTGAATTTGGGACAAAGCAAGAAGCTTTGAACGCTAAAAAGGCATTATCCAGCACCCATTTCTATGGACGCCGTTTGGTAAGTCTTATGTTGTGTACTCATCTCCCTAGCCTCTTCATTTTGACATCCTTGGATGCATCCTCAACTCTCTCTATATGAGATCTTTTGCAGGTGCTCGAGTGGGCTAGGGCTGATGACAAGAGCATGGAAGCGCTCCGAAAATCTTGTGCTGCCAAGTATGTGGACCACCAAGAAAACAATAATCCAAAGAAAAGGAAAAGCTCGACAGTTGGTGGTGAAAGAAGAATGAAGTTTGAGAGAATAGCTGAATAGGCCTCTCTATAGTTTGTTTTGAGTATATTATTGACCATGGTTTCTATTGTAACATTTTCAGAGCTTCATTAATGGAGTCTAATTGCAATTCTCACAACATCAAGAAAAAGAAAAACCTTTGTTCTGCTTGCAACTGTTTTATACACATGAACTCGGAGTTACAAAGAAAGCCTCTCTGTTCTTGGGCACATTCATTTTTTAACAAATGCAGATTCAGCCAAGTCGATGGCTCGAGCAAGACCAGCGGCTTTGTTCTGGCACTCACAGTGTTCGTCTTGCGGGTCACTATCAGCTACTACACCAGCTCCAGCTTGAAGATAAGCCACCCACTCACGCCGTTTGTTAGCATCCTTGTAAGAGTACATTGTATTGTATTGACATGCTGTCGGGAAAACAATTGTCCTAAGGGATAAGGCAATGTCCATGTCACCAGTGAAGGAGACTCCACCAAAACCACCACTGTATGGTCCACGCCTTGTTGGCTCTAGCTCATCGATTAGTTCCATGGCTTTGACCTTAGGTGCACCACTAACTGTTCCCACTGGTAAAGCCGCGCGTAGTGTGTCCCAGCAAGTCAAATCATCTTGTAACTCTCCTGTCACCTACACACATAGAACTTAAGATGATTAGGAACACTTAACAAGAATTGAATAGTTGATGCGATGATAATTAACAACACTTACGGTTGAACTTATATGCATAACATGGGAATAACGTTCGATGTTCATAAGCTTCTCTACTTTCACTGAACCGTATTTCGCAACCTTTCCAACATCGTTACGACCGAGATCAACCAACATGATGTGCTCAGCACATTGCTTTTCATTCTCTAGCAGCTCCTTCTCTAATCTCTTATCCTCAACTTCATTCTTCCCTCTCTTGCTGGTTCCTGCCAATGGCCGATTCACTATCTTGTTCTGCTTCAAATATGATATAAAGGTTAGCTTCAAATATGATATAAAGATTAATGCAACTTTGAGATAACAGAACTTTTACCTGCTTTACTTTGGTGAGAATTTCGGGACTTGATGCTACCAAAATACATCCTCTAGCCTGAATAACAGAACGAAAACAGCATTAATGGTTTATCCACAAGTACAAAATGCAAAGTTGTTGAAGAAATGTTCTCTCCATCACCAACCTGCAAATAACCCATATACGGACTTGGATTCACAACTCTTAGTGCTCTATAAACTTCAAAGGGGTCTGCAAATGTTCGCCGCTCAAAACGTTGGCTCAGCACGATCTGGAATATGTCTCCTGCAAGTATATGTTCTTTGGCCTTGACCACAGCCTCCTTGTACTCTTCGCATGTCACGTTTGAATTATCCAAAGACGGCCCAAATTGTCGTGTCTGAAGATTCACATTACCTGCAGCCAGTTTTGGCCTGCATAGATTCACAGCGGAAGAAAAATAAACAACTTTTATGAATAGTAACCAAAAGTAGCTCTCAAACTAAATCGACTCAAAGAGATACTCACGGCTCAATATCGTGTAACTTGGCCACCAAGTTCTCCAAATGTTGCATTCCATTACTGTATGCCTTTTCGTAAGGAAGGCTCCCATCTAGTCTAATCCAGTGAATGACATACGCTTTCTGTAAAATTTACAAGGAATCTCTAGTTACCACTTCAAGAACAAGATAAAGCATAAAAAGGAAACTAAGATGCATATCTCAGTTAATCATAAAACATGGATGGTGATAAAAGAATTACCTTTTCCACGTGATCAAATACAACTACATCGTCGTACAGACCAAGATGCATGTCTGGCAAGTTCCTATCATCCTCAGGGGCCTTTGAAAATGGCAATTTCCTCTTCTCAACGTAACGAACCGTGTCGTACGAGAAAAAACCAACCCACCCACCTATCATGATAAAGCAATCTTATTAAGAGATACCACTTCAAGAACAAGATAAAGCATAAAAAGGAAACTAAAGAACACTAAGGGCAATCAATCTTCTATCTAAAAGTGCAAGAAAAGCCATTCAATAATGTAAAGGCGACTTGGGGACAATTAATTTATGGACAAAAGGAAGAGGGCACACTAGATCACATCACAGACAGAATGACCAGCACAGGAAAGGGGAAACAGAAAGTTATCTACTTTATCATTTGCACTTGCCTCTTGGGAAATTAGACGTACATGTCTACAACTAGGAATCCCATGTCGAAAACTGTATTAGACCTAATATGGTATGGTACATAATGAACACGAGCTGCGTGCATTAATTGCTAAGTAGTTTTGAGATAGAAATTTATGAAACTTGACATTTACAAAGATCACTCAAAAGCAAGAGCTTGTCTCGAAAACATCCATGCCATTATCACATATCCCCAGTCCTTAAAACCAGTGGCTTAACTATTCTAGAAAGTGATCAATCAAGAAGAATGTCTTACCACAAAAGGCATCTGGAAGGTCCTGAACTAGTTGAGGATCAGGATTCCATTTCTCAGAGATTTTTCTTGGGATCTCCATTGGATCTTCGACATATTCCTCAGTCATGGTTTCCTTTGTGTGATCCATTACAATAACTTTATTCTCCTTTGCTACGATCTCCATGGCAGGTTGAGCCCCAACAACGCTATAACGACCCTATCGAGAACAATCACATCAAAAGAAACTATTAGGAACTGAGACATATTAACAGATAAAAAGGATAGAAAGAAAGCTTCTATACTTACAACGCTTGACATCTGAGAACCTGGCTCAACGGACTCGAAAAGAAAGCTAGGAGCTTCACGGTCATCTTCTTTAACCAAACAACGGTAAGCAAGAACCGGAGTAAGCTGATCAGAGAATATACAGCGGAAAATTGGTATAAGGTTTGTGCTCTTAGAAGCATCTGCCAACTTCTTTGTATCACTTACTGAAAACAACAAATTCAAAAAACATGTATCAGAACTATTTTCATGAAGATTCACATTCACAATCAAACCTAACAAATTAGTCATAGAATTGAAATTTTAGCTTGACCTAATTGTGGTTCAACCATTTTTCCCGCATTTTATCGGTAAGAAATCAAACAATCCAAATAAAAAGAAAAAACGAAGAGCATTGCTTCACCTATTGAAGCTTCCGGAGAAACAGAGACGCATTTAATCGAAGGGAAAGAAGGTGCGTAAGCCGAGCTTCTACCGGAATATCCAGTAACGGTCACAGAAGAAGAAGAGAGATAGCGAGAAGCCACAGAAGGGACAAGCCGGCGAGAGAAAGTCAGAGGTTGCATCGTCGCTACATTCATTGAGGAAGACATTGTAACTGCTACGAACTCGGTGACGGTTGGATGCGGCGGCCGGAATGTTGAAAAATATCGGAGAAGAAGATTCAGAGGTGACGGCTAAAAGCGTAAATTGATTAGTGATTATTCTATTCGAATGACGAATGGATTAATCAGGAGATGTGGCATATTTATAAAGATAACCATGTTACTTATTTGTTAATTTACTTTAATACCCCTTACCTGTATTTTCCATTTTTCCTCATTTTTCTCTAAGTCACGTGCATGTCTAATGTACTGTGGAAGTGGATGTGCTATGAAGCGACCCTTTTTGGGATTTGGTTTGGAGAAAATAAGGAACTACCGAACTAATATGTATAAATCATTAGGTCCCAAATCGTGACAAAAATATTTTTTATATAGTTTATCGGCCAAAAATCGTAAATGTTTTTGACCTTACAAAATTCAGGGCCGATCCTGTCTGTAGCATATCATTTGTTGTTCCAGTGTAGTGAAATCAACTTTTCAACAAAAGCAAACTGTCTTTCACAAAGATTGCATCCCTTTCATAAGCGAACGATACGAACCGTCGTCTTTCTCAACAGTCAAAAACCCTTATCTTCTTAAGTCTTTCTTTATTAATGCCGTTAGAGGACAATCGTCAAGTATGCGTTTTTTTAACTTTTCAACAAAAATAAAAACACAAAAAAAAAGCTCTAGTTGGTAACATGCCCTAATAGCCGAATGTTATCAATACTATTTCTTCTACTAGATTATTATAGGCAGATAGTGATGTATTTGATTTCTTCAGTCAATTATATAATATTACGAATGTAGAAACTTTGACCTTTTCTTGAATAAGCAAACAATGGTAGTAGGACTATCTAAATGGGAAGGTTGCTTTAGTTGCTACCAACCAAAATCAAAATCCATCCACATTAAAAGCATGTGCTTTTCTTCTTATCATTTACCTTCCAATCTCATCATATTATTCTTTCCTTGTATTATACTAATATTCCTTCCTAGTCATTTCTTTATATTTTATTTTTTTTGAATATGTTTTGTAGAATATAGTGTATGTAACGTCGGTTGTAGCATCAAATTTGTCACATATCTAATTTAGTTTAAATATCTAACAATTCGTTTGATATATGAATATATTAACAAACATTTGTAAATTAGGAAAACTGCTAACAATCTGATTATAACACTACTTTCCATTAACAATGTTGGTCCATTCTGTTTTTCCAACCATTGAAAGTCCCTTTTTCAAAATCCAGATTGGTAATTAACTTTTGAGAATTTGGTTTGTTTCCTAAAGTGCTCCATGAGAGTAAACATGTAGAACAAGAACAAAAACATAACTTAAGATGTAAAAGTAGAACATAACTTACAGACCAAAACAAAAAGTTACAACTATATCTCTGATTTCTTATTGAGCTGTGTGTAATGATATGAGCCACTTCACAAGCCAATCATCATGGCTTCATTACCGGTGAAAGCAAATGGGTAAGGCAAACACACAAGCAAGGAGAGGAACAGAACCAGGATTCCTAGAGACACATACTTATCATCAGGTGCTGTGATTTCTTCAGCCAGCGGCGCAATCGGTCCACGCTGCAGGAAGAATATCAGAACCACCCAGTAGAATGCCACGTCACTGAACAACGCCGATAAGCCCAAAAGGGCTATGGATGCACCCGTGAGCCGTGTTGCGGTCTGAAATCATTTAGAAACATATATAATTCTGATTCCTACCAAATAAATCTCCGATGAGTACAAGACATTATTAAGCTTTTTAAGACATTCTAATTAATGTTACCTTTCTACCCCAAATGGAGAAAGCTATTCTGCCCCCATCGAGCTCCCCCGCAGGAATGCTGTTAATGCCATTGATGAGAAGTCCAGCCCATGCCCAGATCACAAGTGGGTTAAGAGATATTGAAGTTCCTTCTTTAAGTGCATCACCTAGTAAGAGCTTTGCTATAAAAGAAATAGAAACAAAATTTAAACATTGATTAACACTTTAGCTTCAGCCTTCAACACTTATCATATTTGATTAAGAGCTAAAGCTTACCAATACCACCAGCAAGGAAGGACTCGTGAAACACTGATGCGTCAACTACAACGCCAATGCCGTCACTAGGGGGCACAAATAACCCTAGAAGAAACAGGATCAAGCCTAGAGAAAAGCCAGCCAAAGGTCCTGCAGCTGCAACCTTTAAAAGATCTTCTCGCTTGGCTACGATATTTTTGATTCTCGTTATAGCACCGAAAGAGCCTATCTGCCATCTAAAACATGTTCATCAAATGTCTAAAACCAAATTTCAGCTGAAAGGATGTTCCTTTTCTTTCAAATAGAATGTCGTATCTTCACCTGCCAACTTGGAACAAAGAATGGAACACCAAGCTTTATCCCTAAGCTATTTGCAACTAAAATGTGTCCAAGTTCATGTACTCCAAGGACAAGCGCGGTGACAAGAGCTCCTGGTAAGCCATCTTTCAACAGTTCAAGGTTGTCAAATGCCGATCTGCGATTAAATTCATGGGTGAATTTTTTTATTCAATTTGATGATTTGGAAGCATAACATATTCTGGAGAAAACATGTTCTTACAGTAAGTCGGATTGCAAGGCAGGAACATTACGGAGAAACAATGTAAACAATGCCACCAAGCCAAAAGAACCAGCAGCAAACCATTCAGGAACAGCTGCAATTATATTTAGTATCCAGTTAAAACTTAATAATCTGAGAGAGATCCTTATAACAGGGAAGTATATAGCAATATACCTGTTGTCTCGGGTTCTAAGGACCTTCTTGGAACAACAACGGCCACAGGTTTATCATCCTCAGGATTGGAGAGGAGGAAAAGCTTGTACTGGTCACCAAAATTATTCTGCAAATTGTTGAGCAATATACTATTACTCTTTGTCACAGTATGTGCTTGTCAAGGATCATAGTTAAGAAAGGAAACCCAAAAAGCAGAATTGTTACCTCCATCCTCATCTTTATCTTCTCGTAACTTTTAGCAGGCTCGCCTCTTAGATTTCCTTTGAACAATACCCCACCCTACCAACATTGTTCCAAAACGTCAAGAGATCCATCCAACAATAAGAGAATTTTCAGAACCTCGTATTTATGTTTCATTAAAAGCAAAGTTGATAATAACCTTAGGAAAAAAAAGTGATGAGTTTCTCACTGACTCACCTCATAAGGTTCTTGGCTTGTTACGAAGAAGGTGTCAAACCCGAATACTTGGCCCCTGAGAATATCAATGGTTTCCTTGGGGAGTCTCATGGAATCATCCAGTTGTAATGGCTGTTCACAACAACTTTTTATAAAAGGTAAACAAACAGAAAGCATTAAGCAGCCGTTTTGCAGATGACAGTGTTGATAATACTTACATTCACACCAGGAAGAGGAGAACCACTGCTAACTTCTAATTTATCACCGTCCTATTCCAAATGCAGTAGAGTACAACAACACATTCAGAAACAAAACCAAGAAACTAAATATATGGACAATGATAGCTAAATTGAGCTGTGTAATGACGTTATGCGATGCTTTCAAGTTAGATTCAATTACTTAGAAGTTTCACTTACCAGATTAGCTGCAAGTCTGGAAACAAAACTTACAAATTGAGCTTCAATTTCACCATGAATGCATTAGTTTCCAAGTAAGAAGACAATACCTGAGAACTGAACTGAGCTTTGTTTTCCTCCTCATTGCCCGGCGCTTCATTCACAACTGTTGACTGTGAATTCAACTCAGTAGGAATTTGTGTAGGAGGATCATCTGCTGAAGTCTCTTTGCCTTCTTCACTATTATTATCCTGCAAAGAAGAACTTATAAACTCAGTCACAGATATATACCAACACTTCTAATCAATCCCAAAACCTCAATTACCTAATTACAAAAGAAAATTATCTACAACATTGGAAATCATAAACAGAATCCACATTGATACCAAAGCAAATACCTCATCGTTATTGCCTTCTGGTTCTGTTTGCGTCTCCGTCACTCTAACCAAAGTCTCTCTCTTTCTGAAAACTCTAAATTCAAAGCCACTAGAATAAGTAGACAAAGAAGTAGTAGTGCTCACGGATTACCAAAAGAAGAAGATGAATAACAACAATATGAAACCTTTCAAGCTTCAGATCCTTCTTCCTTCGAGATGTTCCTGTTTGCCCAAAACTGAGACTCGAAGTAGCAGCTACAAAAGGCTGAAACTGAAGACTACAACATGAGCTGCATTGCGACAAGACGCCGAAATTGCCGCGAAAACTAGCCACCGTGAGATTCATGTCCTTAAGAAGGCGACCAACAGAATTCGAAAAGTCGAGACTTTTAGGTTCTCCGATCAAAACCCTGATGCCATTATTACAAAATAAAGATTTTTAATTGATGTTCTTCAGATACTTGTCCGATTTCAGATGCTGTGTCCTCTCGTGGTTCTCTTATCGCTGGAGGAGAGAGGATCTTTCATTTATCCGTTGGAGGAGCTCTTTCCAAGAATAACGCCTTGTCGTTTTTTTCGCCTATTAGAACGACATGTAGTTTCTTTCTTAATATCTCAAACGACACGTTTATGTAGTCAGAATAGAGTTTAGTTTTACAAAAACAATCAAAAAATAATTGGGCCTATTAATTATTTAATTTTATACAAAAGCTCTTTAGGTTTCATATTTATTCATAAATTAATTGAATTTTATAATTATTTGGGCCTATTAATTTTATTCATTACTTATGGACCTAAAAATAGAATTTGGTCCCTTAATGTAGACATTCTATAAAACTTAATATGTATACAATGAAAAATTAAAACATTGGGCTTTAGATGTATTAGGTCTTAGTGTCTTACATATATTGGACCTGGTGCGAATGCAAAGAACCGGGCCTGATTATAAGACCAAAGCCCGAACTAATTACATATTTGTTCCTCAAACTTTGCCGACACGTCTGCCCCTACTTGATAATGAAAACGGCATACATGTTCTTTGGTTCAAACAACACGATGTTCTCTACTTAATATACAAAACGCAAGCATGTTCTCGTGCAATCCTTGTGAAAGTCTTTTATTCTCTAGAAAGGCTTGAAAGCTGTGTGTGGATTGTGGAAGAGGAGGCGATAATATTCAATCATCGGTCGTTTGGAAAATTCTTCACATCTCAGATGAACTCCGATCGGTGCGAGAAACCCTAACATGTGAAGAATCGAAGAGATGTGTGTATATTCAAAACTTCAAGCTTAACATGTGTGTATATTCGAAGTTTTAGCTCTGGATTTGATACACCAGGAACAAGAGATGAAATGGCATTGTTTTAAGCCACAAAGAAGAGAAAGACAATGAGGAACAAGATGATAACAGCAAAGATCTTCATCATGAGCCATCTATTTGACGAAATTCGAGTGAGATGCTGCAGAAGAGCGCTGCGTGCTCCCTCTACATTAACTAACGATTCATCCATATTGTCATCAATTCTGTTTCATAAAACTAACAGGTGTTAGATGCTGTTCCCTGCAACTTGGAAAATGTCGGGTTGGTTGTGGGTAAGAAACCGTTAAAGAACCTGATTGCTAGCTCTCCTTGTTGTGTGACCATTGTAGCTAGATGCGTGAATATTCCACTGAGCTCTGTTATTGTTGATTCAACACTGTGAAGTGCAACCGCTCGACTTTGACTATAGTTCTCCTGCCTTGGGATTGTTTGCTGCAACATGGACATCTCCATTTGCTGTGAAGGAGCATTCTCGATTGCGGATCTGCGTCTGTTTTAGCATGACATGAACAAAACACATGATTTGACCTTAAATCATAACGGAGAACAAACACAATCAAGAGTTGTAAGTTATGGGAATTAGGACATACCTGAGCTGGCTACCTGGAGGAGCTCCAGTATTTAATGGCGGCAATCTGATCGGTTACAGGAGACAAAACCTAATTAGATAAGAGTAACTATTACTTAGGAAATAGTTTTCGAACAAAACTCACAGTGGTTGTTGTGAATTCCCGGAAGGATTTGATGAACTTGACCAAGGAGGAGGCTCGGGTACAGATTTTGCATTATTCTGAGGCGGACTATCTACTGCACTTTTTGTGGAAAAGAGTTGTTTCCGGTTTTCATGAGCCTTCATGTTCTGCAGAAAGACAAGATATTTCTCAATAACACTGTCCATTGTAGGATAATAGGCAGATACAAATCAATATAAGGTTGAAAAATCTACAAATCCAACCTCTGATCTAGTAGTTAGAACATCTTGAAGTTGCTTAGTAGCTCCCATAAGTCTGGTTTTCAAGTCATCACAAACAGCAGTGTAGTGACCAACTTTGTCCTGTGAATAATTCCCATCAGCAATCTCCATGTTCTGAAGGGTTTGCAAATCCGAGAGAGCCATATTCAGCCCCGTGATATCGTTCCTGATCAGCACAGTTAACTCCTGTATTTCCACAGTCCGGTCATTGAAAATCGAAGATTGTTTTGCCACTGCATTTCATCAACAGTTTCAGGTAAACAAAAACTAAGCCTGTCTTCAATTGTAATCACAACAATGTCTCTAAAATCGTTTTCAAGATCATATGCAATACATGTTAACACACACGAATGACTTCCACAGCAAGCAACATGGAACTTTCCATTTTTTTCTGAGCACCATTTCTTGCTGCAAGCTAAATGCCTAAAAGCAGAGTTACGCTACACCTTTCCTAATTCCTACAAAACAGCTAAAGGAATCTATGTCTTAACTTCATTAGAATCCGAAAAACAAAAACACAAAGCCTAATATCACTATCCGGATCAAATACCCTACATTTCTCGCGTTTTTTCAAATCCAGAACGAAATCATGATTTCAGCAGAAATAAAATATGAAGATGACGAGCATAGATCTGATTCTGAACCATACATTTAGCGAGCCTCGCGATCTTCTGAGACGTTTCGTGGATACCTAACCCGATCCGGGAAGCCTTCTTATTGAATTCAGATCCCGGAGACGAGCGTTTGGATGATGCCGGATCATCTTCATCTTGATGAACGGACGGGATCGCTCCGATCTTCTTCAACGTTTGGGACAATGACTGAAACTCCGCCGTCCGATCCCTGAACGTCGAGCCCATCGGAGGGTCAGAATTGGATCAAAATCACCGGTAAATTTGATGAATTTCGTCAGATGGTGAGCTCCGTTTTAGAGTAACGAGAGATGTATCAATCGGAGAAAGAGACACAGAAACAGAATAAGAAATAGATGAAACTGCGTGTCACTATTATGTTATAGCATCGAACATCTTGTTGTTTTTTCTCCTGTGGACCGTGTCCCGTTTTTAATATTTGGCAACCAAAAGGTGTGGTGTTTATAGACGATAAACTAGGCATTAATCAAACTAACTTTGGGCCCAAAGCCCAATATTATGAAAATACACAATAATAGCCCGTTAGATTCGCAAGTAAGAAGATGTAGACCGTAGGATCAAGATCGTCAACAAAGCCCTACAATCTATAGTTTCCATTTCTAGTTTCTTACAGAAACTTATTTATTGTGAACGGCATACTAATAGATTAGTTAAAAGAAATTAGGAAAAAAAAAGTAAGAGATTAGAAAGTTGTAAAATGGAATTAAAGTTTTGGGGTAATGTTGGATGGATCAGCGACAAACGTGGAAGAAAAGGAGATCCAAAAAGGAAGCTTCCCAAGCTTCGTGAGGCGTAGGAGTCTACATTTTAAGCGTGCCACAATTTCATACCCTTGTTTCCCGATTTTGCGATTTTTTCATGTTTTCTCTTTTAATTACGTACAAATAATATTTATTCATAGTTCAAAACTTCAAATCATCAAATGTTATGAAGTGAGTGTTCATATATCAATGAATTAATTAGTGAATAATAAAATTTGCAATATAAATGTATTGATTCTCTCACTTTACCAATCGTTTTATCGTGAATGCATTTAGAGATGAGAGTTTCTGTTTTTTTTTTATTCAATTGGAATCATAAAACGAACTTATGCAATCTGAACAAAGCCCATTCAGGATAGACATTTTAAATTAGAAAAAACGACAATAATTTGACTTTTGACAACGCATGATGTTAACTTAGTAATAGTAATATGAAATCAAAATTAATAAAGACCATTTGCTTGCCATATAGTAGTATTCATTTTTTTCTTATAAGGTTTGGTATTTTTTTTTGTTTTTTTGAAACTTTTGATGATCACATAAACGACATTGACCTAGGAGTTAGAGCAAGAAAAAAGGAAAAAAAAAAAAACCTTTGCCAAGAACTAGTAGCCAAAACGTATGTCGCATGAAGCTTTATTTCTTATAAATTGTATCCAGTACTATAACCTTAACATAAAAAACTAGAAATATTTCTTTAATGGTGCATGGAACATCATTGGGAATTGCATGTAACTAGTGGGCATTACAATTGTGAGACCACCTTCCACTTTTTTTGACTAGGATAAGAACAGTAGAACACACTCTCCCTCTCGAACGGACTACTACACAGATAAGTTCTCTTTTATAGGATATGATTAATATATATGCTCCAAAGTAAAATTTCGTTTTGATACAACATACCTGAATAAAACCAATAATATGTAATATGTCTCATTTAGCCAGCGTTTTCAAATGTAGTAAAAGATATAAACTTTTTGACATTTTATATTATTCAAAAACACAAATTATATTAAGTTTAAAAATCATATTAAAACTTCATAAAATTAGAATTTTAACAGAAAAGTTCGAATCATATAACACAAAATGATTTTTCATTTTTCCTCTTTTAACCCAACATTTCATTGATGAAAAATGGTCTAATGAAACTTGTGTTGGCAAGAAAACATATAAATTTTTTCCAATTGATATTATGTAAGTCAATACAAAAAGAGTTATCTAATAGTTAATTTATGGATGATTCCAAGTAGAAAACGCCAACATAAACTTTGACTTTGAGGCCGAATCGATCTGATTCTTGTTTTTTTTTCTTAACATTTTGCAATTAAATTTGCTAAGTGTGATGATAAAATACATAACGTTGTACGCATTAGTATGTTGTGTAGCAGAACGACTCTTGTTTGTAAAAACGATATTTGGTTTTATTCTAATTGTCATTTTATTCTTTGGATCTCTAGTTTCTCGCTTAGGTCTCGTGCACGTCTTCCTCAAAATCATCACCAGTAAATTACACGTACACAATATTCACAACGACACACATATAGCGCTCCATACCAATATACATCTTAATAAAATACTCTACAACTGTCATTTTGATTGATTTTTAGATAATATTGTTATGAAGAAGTATACTAACGTATCGTTATACTACCATGTAACTGGTTTTAAATTTATGTTTTGTTGATGCTCGGATCGAACAAAATAATTTATAGAAGGATTTAGGTAAGAACGTAAAAATCTTATATATTAAACGAGTTGGAGTTCGCCATGTTCGGTCATTAATTTGGATCTGATTTTTTTGAAATGATATTCAATATCCAAACACTAAAATAATTAAACAACACCTAATTTGAATACATTTTATATATTAGAAACATATAGTTTTATAGACATGGTTAGTTATTAATATTCTTGTAAAGTCTTCCACTTAATTTTCTAATCACCATCAGCCGACCAAACTACTTTATCAAGTCACAGCTTTTGTGGAAAATATTCCGTTAATTCATGAGCTTTTCTATATGTTCACACAATACACAATCATTAAACTAATTTTTGCGGCTAATTTTAGAATTATCGTACGATAACTGATCACACGCTAATATGTTCTCTAGCTTAAATTTGCAACATAAGAATTCAAACATCACTCAACCCGGCCCACAGGCTACAACATCCCACATGGCCACATTTAACCAATAACCAAATTAAATTAATCAGTTTACAATTACTGAAAAAATTAGCCCACCAAAAAAAAATTACTGAAAAGATTACGTAGAAGTATATATGCATTATGCATACGTAGCACATATATATATAACCTAGCTAACTAGGATAAAAGAAAACGATCAAATCTCAGAAAAATTCAGTCTCTCCCAAATCCCAAAACAAAAGCATGCATTATATTTCGTAATAAACAACGCACTGATTCTGTTTGATTTCTTCTACCTTTATCCTACACAACACTAGTTAAACGACACAAAACTCAAAACACAGACACAATTATTTAATCTATGCCCCTTATTATTTATTTTTATTATAATAGTATATCGAAAACATTTTCTACAAAAATTCAAAAAAAAAACATGACTATCTAATCATCTATATATTCAAACCTTGGCCCATTCACATCACGAAGTCCATCTTAACACACCTATCATATAAACATTTTGAATTCAAACCCTAAAACGCAAACACTAAGAACTCTGTTCTTGAATTTAATAATGTCGTCGGGAGGATTCACCATTAAAGGTAGAGGATTATGTAATAACAATAATGGAGGAGGGACGGCCGGGACGAAGTGTGGACGGTGGAATCCGACGGTGGAGCAAGTGAAGCTTCTGACAGATCTGTTCAAGGCGGGGCTGCGAACACCGAGCACGGATCAGATTCAGAAGATCTCTAGGGAGCTAAGTTTCTACGGTAAGATTGAGAGCAAGAACGTGTTCTATTGGTTCCAAAACCATAAAGCTAGAGAGAGACAAAAGCGCCGCAGAATCTCCACCGTGGATTTTGATCATTGTCAAGACACAGATCTTTCTAGGCCTCACCGAGACAACCTACGTCGTCGTCATCAATCACCACCTAAAGGTGAATTAAGATCTCTTTCTAGATTGTTTTCTAATCACATTTTACAGTATATATATTTTCACTAATATTGTGCTTTGGTTTTCTTGTAGATATTTTTGAAGTTTGTAACGTAGAAGAGAAAGTAATAGAGACGTTACAACTCTTCCCATTATCGAAGGTTGAGAGAGTGAGATCAAACGTTACTGCTGCGAGACACAACGAATACACGCGAGAGCAAGCCTATACGACGGCGTTTTCCACATTCTCAACATGTGGGGCTGAGATGGAACATCCGCCGTTGGATCTCCGATTAAGCTTTCTATGAATGGATTTGATATTAACGACTCTAGTGGTTGCTAAGAAATAAAGACATGATGTTCACATTTATTTAGATCTAGACTTGATTTTGGCAAATTTCCCTCGTAACAATATTAACCCTAATTATATCGTTGTTACAATTTATTTTCTTAAGTTTCTTCTCACTTATTGGTTGATCTGTGGCCTACCCGTGAAATGAACATTCCGATGATTGCCAAAAAAGAAGTAGAAGACACCGATAATTGAAGTGATCATTATCACATTTATGAAAGTATCCACAACAAGTTTTTCATGATTTTATTGTTTGTCCTCTACAATTCATATATTCACACACTCGTAGGAAAAATTACTTGAAAATTTTAAATCCTAATATTAATCGGCTGCTTAAGCACTTAACGGGTACCAAAGGCCCATCATATTGGGTTTAATAAAACGGAGGCCCAATATAGGAAAATAAAATAAAACGACCATAATAGAAGCAATTTAGTGCAAAGTGATTTTTCCTGGAGAAGAAGCAAACTCGAGCTCCGTCGGGAAAAAAAAAACCAGATCGGAAAGTTCACTCTTTTCAAATCTTCTCCGGAGAAATCAGATTTACTTTAAGCTAACGAAGGTTGATTCTCCAAACATGGATGTGATTAAGACGCAACAGATATCAGCAAGGACGATCGAGAAAGTGGTTGTTCATCCACTCGTCTTGCTTAGTATCGTCGACCATTACAATCGCGTCGCTAAGGATTCACGCAAGCGAGTCGTCGGTGTTCTGCTCGGGAGCAGCTCCCGTGGTATCGTTGATGTCACCAACAGCTACGCAGGTATGCCTTAATTAATCCTTTTCCTCTCCTTCTCTTGGATCCCAGATCTCAGATTCTGTTGAGGTCTCTGCTATACTTGAATTCGGTGCTTTTGTTCGTTTTGCTAGGGGTTATTCGTATCTGGGTCCTAGCCAGATGTATATAATAACACCAATTTAGGGTTTTTATGTGGCTGTTCTGTTCCGGAATTGAGCTCTTCTAGAGTTAATTTTTGTAATAGTGTGTGATGTTTACTTCAGTTAACTCACATTCTCGTTAGGGTTTTGGATTCAATTGAGCCCATCGAGAAAGAGTTAGTTTTAGGTTGATTTAGTATGCATTCAAGTTTGCAGAAGTGGTTATCTTTGGATACTGTCACTAGGAACCTCTTTAATAGCTGGATGTTGCTTACATATGAATTCGTTTTAACATTTTGGCATCTTGAATTGTAGTGCCCTTTGAGGAGGATGACAAAGACCCAAGCATCTGGTTTCTTGATCACAACTACCATGAGTCAATGTTCCACATGTTCAAGAGAATTAATGGTATTTTTCTCAGGAAACTGATGCTTAAGACCGTATATGATAATGTATAAAACCATGATTTTAACAAAAACTATTTGCTTTTCAGCCAAGGAGCATGTTGTAGGTTGGTACAGCACAGGACCTAAACTTCGAGAGAATGATTTGGACGTTCACGCGTTGTTCAATGGGTTAGTTTCCAGCTTAATTATTCATATAGTATTTTATTGGCCTTTTATCTTATGCTCTGTTGTCATGGGAGATGGATTGAGGATATTCTGGTTCCGAAAGTATGATTAAGCTTCATTTTAGGCAGAAATCCGTTTTTCTTTCTCACTTTACATTTATTGTGGCTTCTGTTTTATCTCCAATTAAGCTTCGCTTTGCTTCTGGTTCTGCAGCTATGTTCCAAATCCAGTGCTGGTCATTATTGATGTCCAACCTAAAGAACTTGGAATCCCTACAAAAGCATACTATGCAGTGGAGGAGGTCAAGGAGGTAAGATACAGACCCTTCCAAATCTGTCCATTTTGTACAGTTGTATCCTTATATTTAATCAGATGCTGATTAAACACTTCTTTGTCTCTTCAGAATGCTACTCAGAAAAGCCAGAAAGTTTTCGTTCATGTATCTACAGAAATAGCTGCTCATGAAGTCGAGGAAATTGGTATGTCCAAAAGGGAAAAAGTTTTTTTGCTGGTTTGATCAACTCGGTTTGATGTCTAAAGAAATGTCTTTGATTGCTTCTGAGGAAGGTCTTCTGACACTTACCTGCTTCATTTTTGTTCTTGTACAGGCGTGGAACATTTGCTCAGGGATGTGAAAGACACAACAATCAGTACCCTGGCGACTGAGGTTATTGTCTTTACAATACTTTAACTTTTCATTATCATCCCGTTAGATGTCTGTTGAAATCATGATGGGTGCCTTGTAGGATTTGTATTGATATTCTTGCAAGGTTATATTATGAACATGATAGTTTCTACTCGAGGACATAAATAACACTACTTTATTTTGCACCAGGTCACTGCAAAACTTACTGCTTTGAAGGGGTTGGATGCACGTCTTCGGGAGATCCGGAGTTACCTTGACCTTGTAATCGAAGGAAAGCTCCCTCTAAACCATGAGATTTTATACCATCTACAGGTTAGAACTTACTACTATATTTTCATGTATTGTTCTGAATTCTAAAAATTATGGTGAAACTATGTGACATTGTCCCAATCTATGTACTCTTTATAATTTTCTAGTCACTGTCTCTGTTATTGGTGGATCTCATCTAATGAAATATTCTTTACCGATTCGATAGGACGTTTTCAACTTGCTTCCTAACCTGAATGTGAACGAGTTGGTTAAGGCCTTCTCAGGTGAGGTTCTGCTATCATTTTTGATATTATATGGGGCTGGTTTCTTAAAGCTGCTTCATTAGACTTACTGTATTTATAATGTGCAGTGAAAACAAATGACATGATGCTGGTTATCTATCTATCATCCCTTATTCGGAGTGTAATTGCACTCCACAACTTGATCAACAACAAGGTTAGATCTTTACTCTCTCTCACGACATACAACGATTTGAAAGTACCTTGACATTTGATTGTGAACATAATCTTGGGATGATGCTGTGTTTCAGTTGCTGAACAAGGAACATGAAAAAGCAGAGGACTCAAAGCCTGTGGCCATACCTGCCACCAGCTAGATCAGGTTTTCTCATGACTTACTAAGTCATCATTGCCCCGCGATGAAGGCAGCTGTTGTGTGTTCTCTTCCCCAAAAGAAAAGTCAAGTCAGGTGGGGGACGAACAAGTTTAGTTTGATAGCGGCTCTCTTTCCGAGTGTTGGATTTCTCAATTGTCTGATTCAGAATGTATCAAAGAGTCTTTTCATTTTATCTTTCAAGTTCGTTAGGCTTAGGCCTCTTGTGAGGGGTTTTAAGATACAAAATTTCACGTCAATGTGTCGAAATCTCCACCAGAGAGGGTCTTATCCTATTGAAATTCTTAAGAATTTTTTCACATTTAGCATATGTGTGTTTTTATTTATATGCTTACTCGACACATCGTGACAGACTATAGTCCCGTTTGAATGTTGTTCGTTTTCCAAATTCAACATGTTCTTCATATTGTCCTTAATATGAAATTTCTGATTAGAGCCATTGACCAGAACAAACAAGGGTGTTACTTATGAATTTGTTTACTAGCAGAAGTGAATAATTTGAATATTACTTGGATGTAAAAAGGAAGACTAGACTTTTTGATGAGCTTTTCTTTAAATTGAAAAGAAACAACAAAGAAAAGTAAAGTGAAAAAGGATTATGAAGGAAAAATAAAGTTAATAAATGGCGTAATGTTCGTGAAAAGGATATTTGATGCTAAAAGACAGAAACGAAAACAAGAAGGTGCTTTGATACGCATTATGCCTCTTCTTTTTCTCTAAGTCTGCTTCTTTTGAACATCGTCTTTTTCTATTGTGTATTATGTTACTACTCCTTGTTAAGGATATACTATTCGCTAATTAAACTTAGGAACAAAAAACAAACGATTACAAATCAATATATTACTGTGATGTTTCACTTAGAAATCTGTATATCTGTAAAAAAAGATTCAGAAATCCAAACCTTTACATTTTAATTCTGTGTATACAAAAAAATCAAAATAACGTAAGGTAGCACTACGAAAAGTAACAATGTAGACTATGTAGTTGTATATTATACAGAGGTGACGTAAGCATTCAAGAAGACGACTTTCATATTAGTATGTTAGTGGTTAGGTCGTATATCCCATTGAGGTGACCAAATTCATAGTGACGAAGTAACCAAAGTGATTAATTTATGAGACCCTTAATTTATTGACTATAAACAACATTCTCAGTGTTAGTAAATAAAATAGACATATATATAGAAAGGTGTCAAAACAAACATTCTCATTTTTATGATCCAAAAATATTATAAGTTATACGACTATTTACCTTTCATTGGGTTTCATTTCATCCAAAGGCATCATCACAGTGGAGCCACGAAAAAATAACAAATCGAATTGTGTGATGCCACTTTCGTGATTCAATATATGTTCTCAAATGGTTTGATTGGAAAACTAAAAGCTTTCAAATTATAAAAAAGTGATTCAATATATGTTCTCCTCTTTGTTTCCACACAAAAAAATAAGTATCTTTTATGATGCGTTCATCCAAATGTAATTTCCTAAATCACTATTGTTTATGATATTTTACAAATACCAACTTAAGTTCTTTAACAAAAAAGAAAAGAAAAACCAACTTAGACTCTTTTTTAAAATACCACAAAAATATTTATGTTGATGAATATTTGTAAAGCATTATATATTGTCAAATATTTCACATTTGCTAGCTCTTTATAATTAAAATAACTAAAAAAAAAAACAAGTTCTTAAAATAATTTTAAAACAGGAGCTTATACAAATGTTCCACTTGTACTAAACTGATATATTTGTTTGTCAAGAATAATAATATATCCAAGGACACCCTTAATTTTTTATAAACTTAACAAAATTGAGGGAGCAAAGGGTTGGTGTAATAATAGGTGAAAAGAATGTGATTCTTTGTGCCGAAAGTGGAATGCAGACTCAGCTTCTAATTATATACCGTTCACGAGTTAGTGGTCAGCTTTGCCACCCATACACACACACACATACAATATATCCAACCCTCCCTTTTTTATTCCTTTTTCTTACATAAAATTTTATACTTTCTTTTTGTTATAACACAATTTCTCTATATATTAAAATTTTAACCTTAGAAAACAGTATTTGTGTGTATACTACTTTCTTGAAATTATAAAACGTAAATGAGTGAGTGGTATACTAATTCATCTACTAATATAATATTGAATTATTGATCAAATGTTTTGGTTCAATTTTCCAAGAAAATGACTGACCGTTAAAGTTGCAAGTAAAGCCATAAACCCGCCACTTGGTCCTTTTCACCATTATCGATCGTTTTGGCAAAGAGACATGGACATATATACTAGCTACCATATGTTTATTCCATAAACACAAAACATACATATTCACATAGCCTTTTAAGTTTAACCATAAAACATAATTCTGGTTTCGTTGCAATAATTATAATTTCAAAATTCATCATGTGCTCGTTTTAGGATCTTGTGATACAGTAACCTCCTTCACCGTAAAGATTTGCTCCTGCGAACTTAACGGCAGGATCGTAGGAAGAGAAGACCGAGGAAAGATTTTGACCAAGAAACTTCACTCCCTCCTCTGCATTATCCCTGTCGGTGAATCCTAGTTTTGGCTCGGCCTGTTGTGAGACTAAGCAACCGTGATCAGACGATAGACGGCTAAGATTGGCGTTGAGAAGATTGACGGTGGTGATGTCGTGAATGCTAGGTCGGCGTTTGTCTTTCACACCGGAAAGCTGTCTCTGGTAGTACTTTTGGGCATGGCTTGCAACCTGAGTTGGTGTTTTTGATCCCACAAAGTTCCTTGATATGTTTCTCCAATCTCCTTTCCCGTACTTGAGAAGCCCTAACAAGAATCTCCTGCAGAAAACAATTAAACAAAGTATCAGCACACCAAGAAAACAGAGAACTACCTTGCAACTCAAGAAACCAAAGAAAAGTGACTTGTGTAACAAGGACCATAGAGATCGAAGAGTTTCTTCACCTGTGTTCTTCCTCCGTCCATGGGACTCCTTTTCTACGGTCTTGATCAAATCCTCTGGCTCCATTAGGTAGTTTACGATACGCATCAAAGTCACGCGGACTCACAACCTGATCAAATCCACAGGGAGTAGCTGAACGGTAACCCGGGATCGGGACAAGTCCTGCTTCGATATCGAAGAGGTCTTCTTCGAGTTTAGAGTATTGTCTCATGACATCTGATATGGTTTTTCCAGGGATCATAGCAGCAACTTTGAACCAGCGGTCAGGCGTGTCATCAGCGTAGACAGCGAGAGCTCGCTCAAACTTCTTGTTCTCTTCTTTAGTCCAGCTCGAGCTTTGCAAGCACATCATCTCTTGAACTACAAAACGGTGGTCAGAGGTTGGCACGTGTGAGAGTAGTGGATGCAGAGTTTCCATCGGTTAAAGGCTACGAGAGAAAAGTTTCACCTATAAATTAAAATAATATTTTTTTCCTCTAATTTTTGGAAGCTTTGAAGTTTAGTTTGTGGGTTTAGTAAAAGACTGAAGCTTCTTATAGGATCTAAAGGTATATAGGAATCAAAGGGGAAAGACTAACGAATAGTTTAATGATGGAATCAAAGAACCTGATTTAGTGAGAGATTTTAGCATATATTGAAGAATCTGGAAAAGAAAACACAAAAGACTAGACTTTGAAGAATCCTTGAGAATCTGCAAAAGTGTGTCGTCAGAGTAAAACAAAACAGGCAAAACTCAGATGGTAGAGAGAGATAATCACTAAGATAGATAGAGAGAGATGGTGAAGCAAAGGGAGAGAAGAAGAAGGTATTTGTGGTTTGTATTATAAAGAGAAAGAAAGAGCGTAAAGTTTTAGCCAATGAAACCACTCCACTCCCCTACTTGGCTTCATTTTATTCCAAAGAGGATTCTTCACAATGACACGAATTCTAAAAATAACAATAAACTTCAATTAAAAATTTCTTACTAGGCCAACATTTCATATCTTTCCAAAATTTTGATAACCACTAGAATTCATCGTTTTTCTTTTGTTAGGTAGTTTTTCTCTAATATTGTTCAAAAATAAAGTGACAACACATAAAGTTGTTCGTAGTTAATGATAGTTTACGTGAATATACGTCGGCCGGCTTAACTAATTTAAAAAACACTTAAAATAAGGAGAAAAACTTCAAACTTACTAAAAAAAAACAATGTGATTGCTCGTTATTAAGAAAAAAAGAACAATGTAATTGCTATAAATTTGTTATAAATATAACTTAAGGTTATTCGAAATTATAACATGTAAGCTTAAACTTAACGACACTTTATTCGTTATGTATTTTTTTGTGTTACGTACGGACCCCTTTAAAATGGAGAAAATGATATTTCTACGAAATTTCATAAAAGCCGCCATAAAAAAACCGAATCTGAAACAAAAAAAAAAAACGAAAAGTGAGGGACAAATATGACGTTGTTAATTAAAATGTGATAATATTGGATAAATAAGCGCCTGTAGCTCAGTGGATAGAGCGTCTGTTTCCTAAGCAGAAGGTCGTAGGTTCGACCCCTACCTGGCGCGTTTATTTTGTGTTTTTAGCAGATTAATGTCCTTGCCCTTAACCTTAAAGGGGACATTAACTATTGGGATGCGACTAAACCTTTTTTTTGCCCACTTTGGGTACTGTTTTTTGTCGTCTCTCGCTTTATCTACTTTTTTATTCAAAAGATTCTAATCAACTCTCACTCAAAAGCCCCTTTCACACACTCCATTGTCGTCGGTGGCTCCAAACTTGTTCTGCTCTCTCGTAAGATGGATGATGCATAGAAATTTTCTAGACATATATGACCTTACCCTTGTTGAAATATCTTCTCCGAGTGAGTGAGAGTTGATTCTAGGCTTTAGATCTTCTAGGCTCTAAAACAAAATGGTTAAAGCTTGTTTACTACATGAAACTTGAAGAAGGTTTATATTGACAAGTTTGCATATAATAACCACTTAGAATTTGGGTATAAAATCATTTGGGTATTACATAGAATTCAAAAGGTTCATCAACATGATCATCTCTACCTCTCTGTTTTATACATAATCCATATATAGAACTAACGAAGAAAGAGATTCTTTTGGGTATAAAATCAAACAAGAAACAGAGATCAAAATACAAAAGGGACCTATGTAATAGAAAGTGAAGCAGCTTGAAGTCTCTGCAACCATGCGATTCTCAAACTGGGCTTCTTCAGCTCTAAGAAGATCTCTCTATACTCTCTCTTCAGAAACAGATCCAACGCAAACAAGTAGAGCTCACTACCTTCTTCCACCTCTTTCATCCCGTCGAGGCTTTGAATGCATTCTCCAATGCTGTACATCAGCTTTGCCGATTCAATCTCAACGCATACTGGACTTTCCTGCAACATACCCTCACTCATTAGCTTCATATCATCCAATGGTTGAGCGTTTTCGCTGTCTATCCGATCTTCTTGAGACTCTGCATAACCACCATTTAACCTGGAGGTTTCTGCTTCATCTATGTGCAGCTTTGATAATGGAGTTGTGTCACGCCATTGTGGTGATTCAGAACGATTGTGGAGGAGCTTCTTGCGCGAACGCGAAGGAGGAGTGTATGTCTCTCCAGGTTCTATAACTCCGTTGAAGATGATTGCTAGTTGATCAGCATGAGGAACTTCCTTGTGGCGGAATTGTCCTGCTCTTGGGTTTTCCTGTGATAAACCAAAGAGAAAAATATCAGTGTTTTTTCGCCTTTTTCAAAATGTAGTCCACTGGGAGAAGGATCAAAGATAGACAACTAGCATTATCATACCCGAATATATGTTCGCCATTCCTCTTCTGTCGCACCAAAACTACGAGATTCAGGATCCCATTTCATGCTACTTGCTCCAACGAGTTGACACCAGATCTTCCAACCTTTCCTAGTGCAATCCCAGTGGTTTTTCAGCTGCGCTCTTGTATAACCGAGGCCGGTATTTTCATTAATTGTCCCCAGAATAGTCTTCCACCCTTCCTTGTTAAAATGTGTGTCAGGTCTGTTTCCTTTTAAAGTCTCTTGAACCAACAGATCAAGAAACAGCTTATGTGTAGACGGAGACCAATATCCTTTTGTTTGAGGGTTGGATGAACTACACATGCTTTGGTTATCTTCATCTTCTTCCTCGTAAAAACTTCTTCGTCTCTTCCTTACACCCGAAACTTCATCATTTTTCACCTCAACATTACAACCCGCAAAGATAATCTCTAGTTTCTTGAGATCTTGCGGAACACTCAACCGATACTGCCCAGCATCAGGATTCTCCTATGGCAAAAAGCAATCACATTTTAGCATTTAAAACACCAAAATGATCTTAAGAAAATGTAACAACTGGTTTGATCTGTAACCTGTAAATAGTTTGCCCAGTCATCATCACTCGCACGAAACCTGTTGGTCTCAGGATCCCAATTCATATAACTACTTTCAACGAGTCTACGCCATATTTTCCACTGTCTGCTCATTGTATCCCAATGGTTTTTAAGCTGCATTCTATCGTACATCGCGCCTGTCTTCTCCTGAAACGATATCAATATGTTCCTCCAACCGTCTTTCGAAAAATGTGTCCCGGGTTTATTCCCTAACATCGTTTGCTCGACGCATAAATCAAGAAACACTCTGTGGTATTCAGGCTCCCACACAGCTTTTGGCCTCATTTTTCACTTCTTTTCTCCAAACTCCTAACAGTAAAAACGATACCATTATCATTGTGAACTCTTTTTTAACAAAAGCACAGAGAGACAGAGACATTGAAAATAAACAAAATCCATATAATAAACAGTCATACATTTGCATATACAATTCTAGATATTGAAGCCAATTAGATCAAGGTATTGAACCAGAGAACGGAGACGCAATTACATGAAACGTGTTTACAGAAAAATATGATTTTGCGACCTGAGACTTATCCTACTTCAAAATCCCAGTAACCGAACACGAAAATGGGAATTTGCACGAAACCCTAATTCGATTAATCGGAAGATTGAAGAATTACGGTAATGGTTACGATTTCGCCGGCGGGAATTGGGAAGCTGCGTAAACAGAATAAGGGAAGCGGAAAACGTTACCGGGAATCTGATGGAAACGCGACAGCGATTGAGTGGCCACTCTGTGACTTGTGTAAGCCGATCGCGATTTTTCTTCGTTTTCTTTGCTTTTCTGCGTTTGCGCCTCACTGTACGGAGTTTACAAGGCTTTTCATAGAATTATGGGCTGGGCCGTATTATTTGGTCATGGGTCCTGGCCCAATACCGGTTCTTGCCTCTTTTAATCTATTTGTTTCTCCTTTGAAGAGATACTCTGATTGGTTAAGAGGATGCGAGACTGGTTTGTGTTGGGTCCGGTCCTGATTTAGTTTAATGTTTTGCTCGATTTAGATGATTTTTGCTTTTTTTTTTTTTTTTGGTAGGAGATGATTTTTGCTTTATCAAAACATTTTTATAGCTGATTATATAGAGAAGAATTGAATATAGGTTATCGAAAAGGTGATTATTGTACCAATCAAATACTCCCTCCGTTTCATTTTAGTTGTCGTTTAAGGTTTTCGCACACAAATTAAGAAAATCATTAAATTTTTTGTTTTACCCTTTATTAATATATTTTATAATTTTTTTATTGGTCAAAACATTAATGACAAAACATGAATTTTCACCAAACATTTGCATTGAAAACCTAAAACGACAACTATTATGAAACAAAAATTTCATCCTAAAACGATAATTAAATTGAAACGGAGGGAGTATATTTAGGTGACTATCGGCATCATTGATGAGTATAGATATACAAAAATTAATACTAGCAATAAGATTTGCTTTAAATGGTGCCGACCAAATAATAAATAACATTTGCTTTAAATGGGCCGTAACGTATAAATCCAGATACAAAAATAATGGAAATTAGTCCAAAATTTTAGAAATAATGGTACAGAAATAGCTAGCTCCAGCTCCCAAGTCGTCACTAGGGAACAAACTGCTTTCTACTCGTTCTTTTATTTATTTCTTTTGCTTATTCTGATATCGACTTTGTATTTTCTTGTTTTCTATTCGTGGTTTATTTTGGACTGATAACATAAACATAAAATAACAAAACAAAGTCCTGAATATTATCAATTTGATATTTTATAATAGATAACCTATAGTAGATTATGAATTTGATTACGACAAAGTTTTTAAGACTATATTTAGTCTTTTAGGTTGGATAGAAAGTGATGAGACACACTTGTTCTAAAAGCTCGCATAGTCTTTGGTGGTAGCCGCTGGGTTTTCCTTTAAATTAGAAAAGAAATCTACACATGTTTTTTTGTGCAAGTTTAAGAAATTACTATTGAATTTTTATTTTATTTGTTTGATAAAGAAATATTGTTGAATGTTTATGCTAGCTAATTAACCAAATTTGTTACTTAAAGTTAAAGGATCCGATTATTACCTCATTATGCTTGGAATGATCTCATATAGAAGAGAGCAAATGACGAAAGAGAAATATGAGAACAGAGGGTTTCTCATTCAGTTTCGAGCGTCGACGAGAGTGTGTTTTGTTCCTATTATTTGTAAGCTAGTATATAAAGATCGTTTTTTGGTAAGAGTAGCGTCTCAGTATTAGCGTGACTGCGTGACCACTGGTATAACTTTACTTTTTGTGTTATATAGAAAATCTTCGAGAGAGAAAGATATTGAGGCATAACACATGATTTTACCAAAACAATTTAGAAAGACATATGGCTTGAAAGTGTGACTGAAAAGTTGAGATTCTACACACAAAAAATGTTTGTTGATTTGTATCAACGGTTAAAATGTGATTGCACTCTCTAAACCGTTAGTGCATCGTGAGAAGGCAATATACACATGACTAGTAGAAGTTAATAAGATATCAACACATGAAATACCATGTTGATATGTTGACTAAAATTTTGGCCTATATGATACGGTGGCTTGGCATGTAGTCTTTAGTTTTTAAAGAGAAAGGACTAAGATACATGAATTGATGACTGTGATTCTAGTTGAGGCTCTCATCGACTCTGTGCTAGCCATTAGATTTGTTTTGGATCAGAGTTTTTAATTTTGTGCGAAACTTCCAAAAAAATTGCAGTAGTCAATGAAATTATACATATGAAACTGTTCAACTTTCCATAAACCTCTCTGACATTTTGATCTCAATTAGAACTAAAAGTAGCTAATTAAACACATGCAGTTGCTGCAAATGTACTGCATGAAATCAACCTCCCTAGTAAACAACTAGCCCTATACATGAATTAAATAACATCATTGATTTGTGTCCCTATATATTAATTTCCAATAATAAATTCAATTATTAAAAATAAAATATAAAAAATGTTGGTTAGTTCCTAAAAATGAATTTAAGGCATGAAAGATGAAAGAAGGGAGTCATGTTTTTAATGCATCCTCTTTGTCCTTATTCACTTTGTTTTCTTTCACCTTTTATAAACCCCTCTCTTTCTATCTCACACTCACAAAAGTGTCTCCCTTATTTTCAGGCACTTCAAAAATAAATAAAATAAAATAAAAACCATTTTTAAGTCGAAAGACCTTCTCTTTGAACTAGAAGCCTTAAGCCATGTCTTCTTCTTCCTCGCTAGTTCTCTTCTCTATTATCTCTCTCTTCCTCAATGTCTCACTCGCAGACAATCACACGGCGGTTGTTATAACAAACTCAGACACTCCACCGCCACTTCCTCCGCCTTCTCCACCGCCACGGCATACCTTCACTTCCTCTTTCATGCCGGGAATCGCCGTCGTTATCGCCGTACTCACTGCGTTTTTCTCTCTCACTTTCTTACTTCTCCTCTACGTCAAACACTGTAAACGACGAAGCGGAACCGTTTACGTAAACCACCCGCAGCGTTTCGCAATCTCTAGATACGGAGGAGGATATTACAACGGTGGAGGAGTAGTAGGAGGAAGAAAAAACTCCGGTATAGACCGGTCCGTGATTGAATCTTTACCGGTTTTCCGGTTTGGTGCATTGAGTGGTCACAAGGATGGTTTAGAGTGCGCCGTGTGTCTCGCTCGGTTCGAACCGACGGAAGTTCTGAGGTTATTGCCGAAATGTAAACACGCCTTCCACGTGGAATGTGTTGACACGTGGCTTGACGCTCACTCCACTTGCCCGCTTTGCCGTTACCGGGTTGACCCGGAAGATATACTCTTGATCGGTGATTGTAACTCCTGGTTCGAGCTCCGTTTCTCTAAAGAAGAATCAAACAGTATTAGTAATCCTCCCGGTTTAACCCGGTTTGTTCCGGTTAGTCGAATCTCCGGTCGTCATTCATCGGCTGGTGAACGAGCGAGTCGACTCAACGAGATTAGAACATCGTCGTCGTCTAAATCGACTCCGATGTCGTTTCGGAGATCACTCGATAGCTCTCTGAAAGTTAACGACGCCGGCGAGGAGAAATCGGAACCTGTCGCCGTTAATTGCTTGGATCGTTTACAGAGGAAAGACGGATTGTTGTTGATTCCGAATCGGGAGAGCTTTGAGGGGAGATTTGAGCACCGGATAATTATCTCCGGCGGGAATCTAGATGATCAGAGGTGGAGCGAGGTTAGGCCGTCGGATCTTTTGTACTTACGGTCGGAGATGATACTTAGCGATTGCCGGAAATTAGCTGCGGCGGAGGGTGGCAGAGATGTAGTTAACGGGAGAAGTGTGTCGGAGTTAACGGGAATTGAGAGACGGAGGAGATGGGGAGGAGAGCCGAGACAACGACAAGCCACGGCGGTGATTTCGAGGTGGCTCGCTTGGTCCCACCGTGCCTCCGCTTCCAGCATTGTTTAAAATTTATATTTTTGGTCCTTTTAGTTTTGTTTTATAACAGTTTTGGCCGGTTTAGTTTTGTTCTATACATTTAGCCCAAATTAATATATTCGAGGAATGCAACAATGGCAGGTAGGGATAAAAAATTAGTAGTGTTGTTCTTTTATTTTATTTTTTGAAATGCGAATTTTTTGGAGTTAATAGAGATGCACGAGTGCGAGGAAGCACAAATGATTTCTTTTTGTATTTTAATTTTTGAGGAAATATTAAGGAAAGTGAAAGGTTTGAGTTTTTTAAAAAATTAATGTCTTTCTTGGTGTAATAAAGGGCGAGTATTGGGGATCTGATAACTAAGTTTAAAATAAAAAGAAATGACTCATGTTTGTCTTTTTTATACATTGAACTCATAACACTGAAACATTATGTGCTTGCAAGACATTTATTAATGAGTTTTAGTACTGTTTATATAGTAGAATAATCAATGATTGTGAATATAGTAATGGTTAAATGGACTATACTACTCTTTAAACTTTATAGCATTTTTAGTTTTGGGTCCTCAAAAGAAGGTTCCACAATTCAAAATTTGACATAAGACAATGCTCTGACACAACTCATGATCCATCCACATACCTCTATGATTGTTTGTATATACATCAATTTAATCACATGAAACGTTATACACAATTTGATTATCTCGATATGTTCCATACTTTCAAAAACTTTCCAAGTAACACTAGCCGTATCTTTATGTAAAAACCAAGAAATGTCCAAATAACTCGTGATTTTTGAAGGCAATAGTACATCTCTTTCAATGAGACTTCGGGAAGACGCGATTTAAAATTACTTTTACATTGTTGTTTTACCCTTTTCTATATATGGAGTATTGTGTTTTTGTTATTATGAAAGCAAATAAGTCATTATGTGCAACTAGAGAGAAGTCATTTCCGAAGATAAGTATGTAGCAGAAGATCATTTACTTTCAAAGTCATTGTTGATTGATACAACCAATTTGCTATACAATTAATAAGATGATGGTATAGGGAGTATTTCATTGACTACTTTAATGTTTTGAATTAATGATATTTCTTGCCATCACTTTACAACTCATCATTTCCAATTTCCAACATTCTCAAAAAAACTTATTTATTGTTTTTATTATCCATTTTGTGGTTTTTCGACAGCTGATCTTGTTCCTTTCTCGTAACAACCACTTGTGTTGCCCACTCCCTTATTAACTAGATGTTGAGAAAAAAAGAAGAAAAAAAAAACGATTGTAGAAGCAAGCACACGTAGTACATGCAAAAATAAAGTAGAACAAGTTTGGTTTATACATTTAGAGAAATCGGTGTAGTAGTTTGTATAATTGATGAATCAAAATCATAAAAAAAAAGATCTATCAAATACGGTTTAAAATATTTTTTTGATAAATTTTTTGAAATCAGATAAGAACTAAAGTGCGGTTTAGAAAATTTTAACTAAAAGAAAAAAAAAAAAAATTATGAGAAAAACTCCAATTTAATTGTTTATAAGTTTGCATGAATGAATTATCATGATATATAGGCTAGTGTTTTGTGGTATTATCATCACAAGTCACCATCAAAATTTAAATTCATGTTGTTTGACAAACTATGCATGAGTTCCACAAAAGAGGAAAACCATCATATAGAGGCAAAAGCATATGTCACATTGAGATACTTACTTAATGTTATCTAAAACAGTACTTTTTTGTTGTCATTTACATTTTATATTGTTTTGTTTGGACTTACTATCAGAGAAAATGAAATGGTTGAATAAGTTGCGGTTTGTTAATTACATGTCGAGAGAAAATTGTTTAACAGCAGAGATAAATAATTAAAATCTCACCAGCATGGACACATAAAGGAGAACATTCCATGTGGCCTTTGCCTGTGTTATCTCTCATGTTATGTATAGTCCATCTTATTACTAACCATAGATAATGACATTTTCATAGAATAACAACGAATTTATTTTGTCTACTAGCCATTGCCATGATTTCATCTGCATAACCTTACTATTCTCCTCCGAATTATTGCGTGTATATATATTAAAAGTTCGGTCGTATTAAACCAAATGCAGAAGAACCCAATTCCAAATGCTTAAATTTGTAAAGTCCTTTCTTACATTTGTATTCTTTACATTACAAGTTTGATTGATAACTTGATACATTTCACATTTGACATTTACTGTCAAAGTAAAATCTATACTGCTTTGATTGGTGTTAATCACATAAGCAAGAGGAATTATTTATTAAGACAAAAAATTTACTACAGTATTACATATAAAAATAAGATTTTATTTGTACCATTATCACTCTCTAGGAGAATTGAAGAATGGAGTTCCGTAAGACCATCCGCAGTGGTGTAAGTGTGAGGGGGGGTGTAAGATTTTTTTTATTATTATAATTTAAAGTGAGAGAGAAAAGAGAGAGAGAAAAAAAGAGAGAGACAGAGAGAGAGTGTCTTACACCCGAGTGTAAACTTACACCCGAGTGTGAAGAAAGAGACAATTTTTTTTTTTTTTAATACCTACACCCGACGACTAACACCCGAACGCTTGCCCCACTGCGGATGGCCTAAGAATATGGGCATATCAACTCTTGGGAAAGAAAGAAATAAATGATTTCTAAACAGACTCTGTATATGAAATCCAAAAATTCTGACAAATCAGAGCTCAAGAAAAAGTGGCCCATAATAGAATCTTTGAAATTAGCAGAGTTTTAGTGCTGCAGAGTCACTAGATATGCAAGATATATTTATCTGACAAGTTAAAGTAAAAAAAAAAAAGATTAAACAAAATTTTGTTTTATACTTTCGTAATTTCTTTAATAAACTATGTCACTAGAACTCTATGTTTCCTCAAATAATCCATAGGTTTGAGGAAATGCTAAAGATTTTTGTTTATATCATCCAAAATTCGAGATTTAAACATAATCAAAATGTGAATAATCTTTGCATGAGGAAAAGTCTCAAGTGAATCCATTGGTTTATAGAATGAGAGTCCTTAGGATAAAAGCAGTGATACGTGTGTATAAATGGTCCTCATCATTTATCGTCCTCCCTTTTTCAATCTCTATTCCTTTTCGCAGTTCTTGTTTCTTCTTCATGAAAAGCCCACTCGAGTACTTGAAAGAGTTTATTAGACACTCAAAACTCAACTGTCACAGTCTCCAAGCTTATTCAAGCCTTTTCTGGTTTCTTTTCAGCTTTTTTGTCTGACTTGTAATAAGCATTTTATATAACCAATTTACTCCAACATCTCTTCCCTTTTTCTCGTTCCTTTCCATTCACATATCTCTCTCCGACCCCATTTTGGCTTTTTCCTCTCTCTATCTCCTGAATTTTACCTTTACTTTTTTCCCTTGTCGAGAGAGTTATTGTCACATTACAAAATTTTGGTACCAAGACTACGTGGAGTCTTCTCCATCAAGAAACCATGTTTTAGCAAGGAGGTTGAAAAACATTACAAAGATTGTTCTTAACACATTTTGGGTCAAACAATCCTGAAAATTTACTACATATATTTGGATTGGCCTACCTGGTAATGTGTGTGTTAGATCATGAAAGTGAGATATGCTGCAGTGAATCCGGATCTACGGCTTGATATGATAATGGCTGCCGTTACCAGATAAAGAAAATGAAGCGAGTGATTTGACAAGACAAAGACTATAGACAAAGACAAGACTGTGTCTTCTTCATAAGTAAAAATAACTCTCTTGTCTCCTTTCTCTCTTTTAGATCTTTCTTCTGCAAACTGTTATCACTTCCAATTCTGATTCTCTGCTCTGCTCTGCCACTACACAGCTATGTGATCTGAACAACTCAGGAACCTTGAGATAGCATACTATTGAATTGAATTCTCAAAGAATAACATTAAGAAAATGGGTTTTAAGATGAAGATAGTAAGGAACTTTTTCTCTTTCGATTAATTAATCAATCGGTGTTGTTGTAAATGTTGACATCACAAAACTAAAATGTAAAGAATCGAAGAAAGAAAAGCTATTTCAACAAACAACCTAGGACTCTAGGAGGAAAGGCAAGAGAATCCGAGAAAGAACAAAAACAAAAAAAAGGTTACTTATTCATAGGAGGAAGTTCTCTAAATTCTTGCCTTTGGTAATCAATCTTTGTGTGGCTTTGCTTCTCGTGTTTCTGCCAAAAAATTCCATGCTTTTGGCCCAGCTTTTCATTAAGACAAGAGTCAGTTATGCTGTGTAAGATTTTGGTAACAGCAAAAGAGACTACTTGCCTGTGTATCCATAAGGGAGAAAATATAAAACATATATATATAGGGAGGAATGACGAAGAAGAAGAAGAAGCTTTGTGTATGTTCGGTGTTCTCATTTGCTTCGTTTCTTGGCTTCGCTGTAGAGGATAACTCCACAGACGGTGAGGGAGTAACCCAGCATTCCGGTCACTGAGACCGGATTCTTGAAGATTAGAATAGAGACCACCACTGCTACTGCTCCTTTGGCGTTTCCTAGCACCTGTCACAGAGCAATCCAAAACAGGGTTTTATGAGTCTATGTGAATCACATCTCAAAAGTTCGTTTTGAAATGCAGGGAACATCAAGCATTAATGCATTATCATACACATAACAAAGCAAATCCAACTTAACATCCAAGAAACATGAAACGATCTCACTAACAGGAGGACCAAGCAGATAAGCGTTTCTCACTAGTTCTACAGGACTGACTTTGTTCCAACCAAAACACATATAAACTTTTCTACCACATACAAGGATGCCATTAAGAGTGAAAAAAAAAAATGAATTGTAATTACCTGCAGAGTCAGGGCGCTAGTGTGTTTCGTGACTAAGAAATTTGTCAAGTTGACGAAATAGGCGAGCGCTGAATTGAATAGAAGATACCAAACGATTCTGAAATCATCTCTTGCAAGTGCAATTGTAATGCCGACAACATTTTTCTCCATGATAAGAGTAGCAGGCAGAAGGAACACGACAGCTATAGGAGCCATGTAAAGGAGGAGATTCATAGAGTTCAGCTTTTCCCTTCAATACAATTTAGAACCTTTTCAGCAACACTCATAAACCTACTTGAACTATTGATATATAGACCTCTAACAAGGCCACTGAGACAATACCAGCCATTTCTTACCCTTCAGAAGAAAGCAAAATTCCTTGAAGCACGGATTTAAGTGCTCTCGCAGCTGTGGCTGCAATGCACATAAGGAATCCAAACAGGTGAAAGCTTGGCTCACCCTGACAACACCCAGAAATTAAAGAATATCAAACAGAGAAACAAACACAGCACACACAGAAACAGAACAACATCTCCATTAATCAAACTTTTTTGAGCAACATAAAGTTCACATGGTTAAGAGAGGATGAGAGAAACACAAAATTCAGCGAATACAAGCACAAAACAATGCCAAATCTTTCTAATGTGAAACATAATTCAACAATGTCTGAGCTTGTTCCAAAGATAAAAGCTAGTATCCGTGGCCAAAAATGAAACTGAATCAACCATATTCAGCTCATAATATATAGTTCCTCGATCCAAAACTATACCTATGATGACAACATATGAATTGAAATGAACCATATTTAGCTCTAGTTCTCATGCTCCTGCTTCACATATTAACCTCTCTAAGAATTCATCAGCCGTAACAAATACATAATCTTCTCAATTTCATCAAGCTGGACCAAAAGGATTCAAATTTAAGAGTTGAGAGAAGTGAAAATACCCCACTGGCGATAACAACTCCGGTGACGACAGGGACGAGAGTGAAGTAAGTCAACCAAGCCTCTTTCTTAAGCGTCATCAGATAAGCAAACACGGCGGTGAAAAACGGCGTCGTAGCACCAATGGCTTGGTTAAACGAAACAGGAAGAAAGCGAAGAGAGATGTTACCAAAGACCACCGACACACAAAAAACGAGACTTAGAGCTGAGATCTTAAAGAACTGAACTCGGGATCGAATCGTCTGCATCGGAACCATCTTCAACCAAGCAATGGCGACGTAGCTGAGTAACGAACAAGCCGTCATGTGACACATGGTGAGAAAGATCGGGTACTTGAATCCGTAATTGCTAAGCAAGTACTTGTTCAGCAACAATACTCCAATGTTCGATGAGTACCATGACGTCACTAGCCCGATTGTGAAAAACCGGCCATTCGTCGCCATCTTCATCGCTTTCTTCTTCCTGGGTCCACTCGATCTGATGAGATTCAATCTAAAACCCTAGAGAATTTCACGAATTTGGGATTGGTGGGAATCGAATCTGGACAGGAGATGGAGATCTCTCGGTCCTCCTCGGACACAGATTTTGACGCGTGGTGATGTTATTCCATCGATGGGTAAGATTGGATTAGGTTACAACACGCGAAAATGCTGGAGACGAAGAAACTGGGAAAGAGAAAGTTGGGATTTTGGAGAAAGACGATGAGAAGAAGAAGAAGAAGAAGAAGCTCTGCAAAAAGGAGAGATCTTTGGGCTAAAGCTGCAACAACACCTCTCTCTCTCACTTCTCTTTCCTTTTTTAAGTAAAATGTTTTTTTTTTAAGTAAAATGTTTATACATTTTTTTTAGCAGGTTTTTTCATGATTTTGGTACGTTATGTATTTTTATATTTCAGTTTCTGTAATTTTTAAAGTTTTATTATCCAATTTTAGTTACGTTTTTTGTTTAAAATGGTTACTTGAAAAATCAAAGTGTGGATATGTGTAACAATGAAGGAAAGGAGCCTTTGACTTGTTGTTATTGATAATTACCGAATCTGAGTGAGTTCTAATTTAATGATGTACGTTCATATACTAATCCTTGACATTTCATAGCTAACGAAACATTTCAGTTTTAAGTAATTCGACCATGAATCTAATTAATTAACAAAGCGTTTGGTTAATCGGTCAAGCAGCATCCATTAAATTAGTTAGGCAATCGATTTTACATTAATTTTTCTAAAAATACAAAATATTCAGAAAAGCTCATCTTATTAGCACAAGTTTGGCAGAATTATGATGAAGTCGAATAAATTTAGCAAACCTTTGACCAATTGGGTGTTTAAGTCTAGTGGTAGAAGACCAAGAAAAGCTTTATTAGTGGTGTAGCAAAGGGAAATTATGTTATTATACAATAGTTTAGAATCTATGCTTGAGTCTTAAGTCAAACAATGGTAGGATCATCTGCATTTTGGCTTGATGTTATTAGCCGTTACAACTTGTGAAGATGAATTATAGAGAGACACATCTCGCAAGTTCATCTAATTTGACTTTTTTATGAGATATTTATTTACAAGTGTTAGTTCAGTTCCTTTTGTTGGAAGCTTTGTTTATCAATTTTTCTTTGGCTTTAGAGTTTAGACTACTATCCCTTTGTGATTGTGCTATACTTGAACACATATCTTTTTACATAGGTTTAATGCCACAATTCCAGGAGAACATGGGCATCCCAAGATTCCTAACGGCTATATTGCAGTAAGCCTATACCATGAACAAGTTGATATAGGTAATATATCCACAAAATGGATGTTTAATTTGTGATAGATCCATATTTTAAAGCTTTTCAAGCTCACTTCATGAAATTTCTACAGTTCTTAGAGTTGTATAAACTAGGAAACTTCGTGGTTACTCATTGCTTGACCATCCCAACCGGAAACGAGATGGCTCATGGCTGACATACGTATATCAACACTAACTATAAACATAAGTTCATTTACATCATACTACTTAACCAATTATATATATAACAAAGAAACTTGCATATGAATCATTTAAATTTAACTATAATTTTCTAACCACTCAATTTCATATTACATTAGCCACTTGTAAAACAAAGGAGCTTTCTGAGGAATCTCGCTATATCCATAAATACCATCTTTCTTTGCTTCCCACGTACAATTTCTATATCTAGAAGAATCTCTAACCGCTTTATAAATGTCGAACACACCTTTTTTTACTTGTCCTTGGCTAAATCCACAAAAGTAGAGTGTCGAATTCAAAAAATTCACGTAAAACATCCAACCATATAATCCACCTTTTTTAAGGATATGGAAACCATGATCATCATCTCTAGATTTACAATGAACTCCAAGAAGATAGTCATTGTTATTATGAATCACGACCATCGTAAGAGGACCTTTCATTGGAATTACTTTTTCATCATGTTGTAGAGTTTCAGAACCTATCAAAGATATCAAAACAGTGGAGATGATTATAAACATTGAATAGAAAATTGTTAGGAAATTTATTGTAGATGAATTGATCATGAAGATTTTGTTAATCATGATATTGCATATCCTAGACCTTATAATTTATATATAGAGAGAGAACTTTACAAAAAAATATAATTTACATTAATTTATGTTGAATAACCTAAAATAGTCATGAAATCACTAGAAGTATTTGTGTAGTAAATAAGAAGGTAAAAGTTGCTTTTTGTTCAAAAAAAAAGAAGACTAAAAGTTACATAAATAACCCAAAATATTATAAAAACAAATTTTCATCCTTTCTCATCAGATTTGCTGATTACAAGTTTTCCATGGCTTTTAAATTATATATTTATATATTTTAGTAAATGAGAACGTAAAATTGTCATCAATTTAGGTTAGGTATATATACTTAAAAGAAGACATAATTCATAACCCAGAAAATTAAATTGACAGTAGTTAATGACGAAAATAGTATAGTAGATTTATAAATTTATTAGAGGTGGGTCGGTCTCGTGTCCCAGGTGAAGAAGTGAGAGGAGAGAGTACAAAATAATTTGTCTGAGAATCTGACGATCACTTAACTCCAAAACCCAGTGGCAAACATGTAATTTTACCTCTAACGTTTCAACAAGAAATCTCCTTTTCTTTCTCTCTCTCTCCTTTCTTCTTCAAGCTGCTTCAAAGCATTGATCATCATCATCTTCTCAAGTCTCATTTATATGAGGATTCGTCATCTAGGTCTCTACGAATATGGAATCTGTACAGCCACATCTCGAGACCCTTGTCTCTGTTAAAGTAATCCATGGCTCAAGTGGCTGTGGTGATGGCTCTGAAGATGGTGGAGAGCCTCCTCGGAGCTCCGGTGCGGTGGAGAATGAGGAAGAGATAGTGAAAGATGAGGAGAGGAGATCCAATGCGTCGGTGTGTTCGGTGGAAGTAGATCTGGAGCTTGGATTGCCTGAGAAAGTTGTACATTTGTCACAATCTGAGAGAGATTGCAGGATTTGTCACATGAGTTTGGATGCAGCGAATCTTGAATCTGGTGTTCCCATTGAGCTTGGCTGTTCTTGTAAAGCTGATCTCGCTGCTGCTCATAAACACTGTGCTGAGACTTGGTTCAAGATCAAAGGAAACAAGTAAGTTAGAATGTTGGTTTGGTTACTTCCACTAGGAGGACATAAAAATCTAAGCTTTAAGATAGTTTAGGAAAGGCTAAATGGCTAAGAGTTCCATAAGTTTAGGAAAGTTTTATACTTTCTTTAAGGTTTCTGGTTATTGTCACTTTTGAAGAGCTTTCTTTTGACTGTCTGTTTGATAAGTTCAAGTTTTGAGGCCATTTGTTTTCAATTTAGAGATAAAACTTAGCTTTTTTTTCTGTGATGAGATTCATGGTTTGGTTTTGCTTTGCAGAATCTGTGAAGTATGTGGATCCATTGCGGGTAATGTTGTTGGAAGTGTTGAGGTGGAGTCTGAGGAAAGCCGGAATGAAGCAAATGGTGTAGAGAATCAAACTCTGAGAACATCTGGTCCCCGAGTGGTGGAAGGTAGAAGCTTCTGGCAAGGTCACCGGTTCTTGAATTTCCTTTTGGCTTGTATGGTCTTTGCATTTGTGATTTCTTGGCTCTTCCACTTCAATGTTCCCTCTACATAGCAAAACAAGGAAGAAGAGATTCAGAAGGTAGAGAAATGGAAATGGTTAAAGCCATTAGAGATCTCTCGGAAAGGTACTTCACTCTTGTACCAATGTACCAATTCCTTCTTTCACTATTAAGTTTAATGTAAGTTTAGAGAGGAAGACCAAGACCTAGAAGAGCGCATAATGCGATTTGCGGTTTTAATTTCTGTCGTGAAAATGTAAATGTGTTTCATGGTTGCGGTCTTGCGGATAATGTATATAGCTCTAGTCACTCTAAAGCTTAATGCAAATGCAGTCTTGTGAAAGTCTCTTCTCTTATCTCATTGTATTATGAAGAATCTGATCACTTGCATTGCATTTTGCATCCCAAGAGTTCAGTGATTTACAGGGGAACCCAAAAACCAAAAATAGAAAAAAATCCTCTGTTTCCATGTTGCAATAGATTAAAAAATTATGTACAAAAACCAAAACTCAGGCCATGCTTTTATGTCTCCTCAGTGACCTCTGATTCATCTTCTTCTTCTTCCACAATTGCTAAGATCTTTGAGGAACTAATCCTCAAAGAAGCGCTTCGGATTTTCATAGGCAGCTTCTCATTATTAGCAGCTAAACCACATTCGATTTCTTCTTCTTCATCATCGTCCTTCTTGAGATCAGAAGGCGGTAAAAAACAATCCATAGACAAACCCTTAATGTTAAAATCCATTTCCTCAATCTCCCAAGTCTCTTCCATCCGAGTCCTCGAGTGATTATCCGAGTTCTCACCAAACCGAAACAGAGACACCGAGCTTTTACCAGCGTGTGCTACCTGAATACCATCAACAGTCCTGTAATCTTGGATCAAAGACTCCATTGTTGTCTCCCAGAATATACTGTTATCGTCTTGAGCTTTGATTCTTAGAAGGTGAGAGTCTTCAAGTTGAATCAGAAGACCTGTTCTCTGGCTGAAACATCCCCACACTGTGTGCCGGATGATCTCAACATTGCTGCTGCTTCTCGCCTTAAGCGCCGATGGCTCAGCGTCGAGTTTGAGTATGAAACAGTCTTCATCATTTATCTTCTTCTCTCCCATGCATACCGATCTTGCGAATAGATTAGCCGTTGATTTTGGATCAAGACCCTGTTTCATTTTGTTTCAGAGAGTAATGTCAGAAACTTTTGTTATGATTTCATCTTGTTTCAAATAAGTAAACACAAAAAGACTTGAAACAAGTCAACGATAAGTAACTTGATTCATCATTACTACAAATTTCCCAAAACAAACAAATGCTATTGAATTGGTGACAATAAAAGAAGATCTTAGGTTGTAAATAACTATACTTGGTAATGGGAACAAAAGTCTACTTTGTTAAGAAAAATATCTATTTGGAGAAAATCAATTAGCAATATCTTTGTTAACAAATATATCCATTTAGGAACCAACTAATGTATACTAGTTATAAGTAGTATATTTTTTTGGTTGTTGTTGTTAGTGGTGGACCATAGATGGTTCCAACTTTCAAGTTCCAACAACTTTGGTAACTTGTAAGCATTTTCTCCACTTTGAAATGAGAAAACAAGAGCGCAATTCCATGGGACACGTCACACTTTATTTAAGGCCACATCAAATCTCAAAAGTCATAAGTTTACATTGTAAAATATCAAAATTTAAATTTAGAAAATCAATGGTTTTATCTTAACTTATATGGAAGCCAACAAATCATACGATGAAAATATGGGTGTATGGTTCTCTCATAGATTTACATTAGAAACGTTCTTCAATTCGCTGTCAAATTTTTCAAATCAAAATCCAAACTAATCAACGAACAATATTATAGGATGACCAATTCTATCGTTTGACAAAGATAAAGGTAGGTTTAGCTAGACAAATCTCTTTCAGAAATAAATGTGGAAAAGAAAAACAAAGAAACGATGAAGAATTCAAAGCAAGAGGAAGTTTGATGATTGAAAGATCTTTATGCCAACAATCAAGGAAAAGAAAACTTCAACTACTAAGAATCATAAAAATCAGGAATAGAAGAAGAATGTATTATTGAACTCCAAGGGGAAAAGCTCAATCATCCAGTGTCATAATGATCAGTGGTTGCATATGCTTTATGAGACATTAAGGATCTTTGTCTTTTCATGAATCAAGTAGAAACTAGAAATGTAGCATAGCCACAAGAAAATATCCATATTATTTCCAAACATTTCACAAAAACCCTATTATTCTTTGCATTAAATAACCTATATTGGCGTGAAAAAAAAAACCATATATTTTTTGCAAAAACATAATGAACATAATAAACCAAACAAAATTGAACGTAAAAAAGGAGTTCTATAGCCTCTCTACCACATTAACAAAAACAAACCATTCTTCAAATATTTTCGTTTCTCCCAATTCCGTCATAAATTAATTTCTTGATATAACGTTTTAGGGTTTTGGTTGTTTTACCATCCATAATTTTTGCAAACAAAAAAAGGTTAAAATTTTGCTATCTTTTGCATACTCTCTAGAAAATATCATTGATTCCTTAAAAAGTTATAACCGATTTGATTAATAAACAACGGAAAAAAAAAATAGAATTACCTGGAGGAAACGGCGCAATGGTCTAGGAGGACCACGAGAGGCATGAGAAGGATGCCATGGAGTTTGTCTCCAAGCGACTTTGGCATCACTACCGGCACTGATTTTGCAGCCTGAGACGACGAGCTCAAGACACCATAACTCTATTCCCTTCTGCCACAACACAAAGCCTCCTACTTCTCCTCCTCCACTCTTGATACTCCTTGCCTTCACCATCTTGCTGTTCAGGCTTCCTTCTCCTGTACAGAACTCTGATGCTGTCATCCTCACTTTTCCCATCGCATACATGCTCTCTACCGCGTTTAAAGCCCGATCACCTCCTACCGCTGCTATGTACTGCTTCACTATGTATTGCGCCATCGACATCTCCTGTGGATTTCCAATACAAAAGAAAAAACATTCTTATATATGATAGCGGATTAGGAATCTGATATCAAAACATACGATCAAGAATTCAAGAAATGGCTATTGTTTTTAAGTCAATCACATTTACATGTAAATTTTCATCAAAAAATATATATTAGTCTTTTAATCTAATATTTTTGTACAATTAAATTCAAACATGCTTTTTCCTCCCGTGTAGGTTCCGTTTGTATTGACAAAGAAAATTTGTTTAATAGTAAAAATTGTGGTTTTATAGCAAAATCAAATGAAACTTAGAAATTCATGGCGTAATATAAAATACATGGAGCACTCCGATCCATTTATTGTTAATTGGTTTTGCGATGAAATTTTGTTAGATGTACAGTAGAAAAAGGAAGATGTAATTACGAGAGGTTGGTCTTTGATGTCTTTGTGAATGGGATTCTCATAATCGTTTTGTTGTTCAGGCTGAACGGGGAGAGGGATCAAAGGAGCCCCAACAACTCCGAGAAGGAGCTGGATCTCTGCGTTACGACCACCAAAGAGTCTTGTCATGTTTGTGGCTGTTGCGGTTCCGGTTGCAGTGGCGGTGGGTTTTGACCAGTAAGACTTCATTTGGTTCCATCCCGGTTTTGTCTTGGACGCAGCAAATAACTCCTCAGGCATGGGAACCTCGAGGACGGTCTCTAAACCGTCTTCGAGGTTGTAATTCGGACAAAGTTTCCTCATATCCGCAAAAAAAAAAAAAAAGAGATTTTGAACGGAGAAATTTAAGCTGAGTGAAGAGAGGGAGGCTATCTGTGGGAAATTTGGATTTGATGAAAACTTAAAAGAGAGTGAAATTAGAAAAGAGACATTCGTCGTTGTCACCAACCGACCGGAACGTGGGGAGGCCTTTTGTTTTGTCGTGTCTGCACGCTCTCTCACTCTGCTTACGTCTGTTTATATATATATACACAACTACACAAGACATGGGATCAAGATATGCTAAGTGCAATATCTATATTTTTCCATTTTAGTTTCATAATAACAACAATCTTTTATGACCATATCAACCTCTAACCGAATTGAATATGATACCACCTCTTAAAAATCATATTTGCTTTAATCTTTTTTGGACAAAATAATCGTGCAACAAATTTACTACAAGCAGAGTATTGACCCGTTTGAAATCATACCAGAAACTTCATAGACCTAAGCTACGATCATTCTAACACCCCTTTTTATATATATAAAATAGTAAATATCATTTTAGTTAAATTGGACATGATCTCTAAAGATCGGAACATTGGATTTTGAATCCAATACCAAATGATCATGAATCGAACAGATTAATACATAGGCTTTGCAGTTTCGTGACATCCGCTTCCTAAAGTCGTAATGCAATAAAATATTTCCTAAATCTACAATTTATAAGCATATTGGTAATTTTTAAAATAGTATTTGATAAAACTAATATACGAATTCATAAAGTTTTATGTCTGGACTCTTGATTAGTTGATAAGTATCTTGTCGTTGAATTGAAAATTATGAATTTGGCTTTTGGACATTACAAATCAGAAAAAACCTAAATTTCAAATTAATTACCGAAAAAATGGACTTAATTAGCCACCGGAAGAAAAAAACTTGAGTGGCTTTCATAAAATAAGAAAGAAAAGTTAGTATTTCCTTTTTTTAATAGTTATTTTCTAACCACTATGTTACTATTTGAATTTACTTTGTTCTTAAAACTATGTATTCTCTAACTAGTAGTATCATAGTATGTTAATATTCAACTGGCAAGAAAAAAATTCTGTTTTAACTGACGGAAAACAATTTTGTAAATTATATATGCAAACACCGAATAGCTAATTATAGTATTTATTAAACATTAAATATAGCAATTAAATAAACCTTTTTGATAAAAATATTGAATAGACCTTTTGACTAGTTATGAATCGTGATGTATCAATTAGTGGCATGCAGAGCGGGAGTCGTTATATGTGAACCGAATTTAGTATTTAGAGATGACTAAATACTAAATAGGAACATTTTGGTGTAAATGTATCTTCCAATTCAAATATTCAATGGAGTATTTTAGTTCTAAGGCTATACCTTTTTTTTGGGCAAAAGTTCTAAGACTGTACAAAGCTTAAAACACTACCAAAATGGAGGGAGAAAATCTGCTATCATTTTAATTGTAAGACTATCGTTTTCTACAAGGCTAAATTCAGCTATCGGATATGGTTTGAAAATCTTTAGCAAAAAAAGTAGGGGGTATATGGTTTTAAAAGTCTCTGTATGGACTTGCTAAAATAATCTGTATAGATCTTTTATATTAGGAAGTGATCAGACTATAGATTGATTTAGATTTATTTTTATTTTGTAAAAAACTATGTGTATTGCACGTTCATTTGTTCTTAAAACTATATGATTCTGTGTTTATGTTGATTTTTCTGTTTTTCCTTTTTTTTTGTTGGAATATAAAAATCAAATACCTTTGTCGTTTGTTGTCTAGAATATGCATTTTTTCCACCGTATATAATATCTAATTTAATTTTATATTTGATATAGTACTGTAAGCCTAATATTAAAAATTTGATTGAATCCGTCGTTTTCAACTCTTTGAAGCCTAAACAAACTTGCTTTGAAATTTGATTCTCTCGCAGTCAAATAGACAGATAATTTCTGGTGATCGTATAATGGAATATTATTTACCATACCCCATTTTTCTGTTTTTTTTTTCCAAATATACCACAAATTATTTTAAATCCTTTATAGTTTTCAAGATTTTTTTTTGTAATAAAGCTCCATACATTCCTAATCTTGAAAAAAAAACTTCTGTTACCATCTCTAAAACTGTTGAAGGAACATACATTCTTTTAGAAAAAAAAGTAAACAAATAGATGAATTGTTATGAGAAAAATACGAATAACAACATTAAAAACTAGAAACAAATAAAGAGAAAATTCTATATACCGAAACAGAGCAGCAGCGGCAGGAAAACTCAAGACTGAAGATCACTTTGGAAACTGATTCTTGAGACATCCATTATCAAGAAAATGTGAAGCTCAAAACCATTTCATAGCTGCTGGTCAAGGTAAGGATCTCTAGGCGAATTCGAGCCAAGATACTCTGAGACCTCAGTAACATACGTTTTCAGCTTCGATGTGGTTCGAGTGAGCCAATCGGTGTTTGTCTGATCCATCTCATCCTTCATATTCGCCAGCTTCTCTTCCTCTTCCAACATACTGACCCATCTCTTACCCATATACATTTTAACCGCATCCACGCCTTGTTTCACGACTTCCTCAGGCGGGACCACGAGCGGGTTTTGGTCCAAGTTCAGTTTGGTCAGGTTCACGAGCGTGCCAAAAGCGTCTGGAAGAGAATGGATCTGGTTGTTGCTCAAGTCGAGTTCTTGGAGGCTTATGAGATCGCCAAATGAAGCAGGTAGATCTTGGAGATCGCTGAAGTTACTGCTCAGGTTAAGGTACTCGAGGTTTGTGAGCAGCCCGAAAGAATTTGGGAGACCGTTGAGTTCGTTGAAGTGTGCATCGAGGTAGCGTAAGGATCTCATTTCACCAATGGAAGTTGGTAATGATCTGATTTTGTTGAGATGGATCAAGAGCTTCTCTACTTTCACTAGCTCGAATCCAATGTTTGTTGGTAAGTAGGTGAGATTGTTGTAGCTCGCATCCAAGACAACCAGTGATCTTTAAATCGAAAAAAGAAAGTAAGAAAGAAAAAAACAGAGGAGAAGAATCAAAGTTTGAAGATAAACACTTACCCACAATGACAGATGGAATCTGGTAAAGTTGTGAGTTTGTTACAAGAGACATTCAAAATCTTCAACTTTGACAATAAACCGATCGAATCGGGTAATGTCTCTAGGAAATTCGTGGACACATCGAGTTCGAGAAGGTTTTGCAAACCAGCTATCGAATCAGGAATAGCCTGTTACAAACATAGCCTTTGATCAAGACAAGCAACACACACTTTTAAATCTATCTAAATCTAGACATCACCACAAGAACCGATCCAATTCCAACACCTACTAAGAATTTACCTATATGATGTACTAAAAGACTCCAAATCCAGAGTAAAGTTTACATCTTTGACAAGTAAACACACTTTTGAACCTATCTTAATCTAGACATCACCACAAGCACCTATCCAAATGTCAAAGAATTTACCCTAAAGACTCAAAATCCAGAGCAAAGTTTACATCTTTGACTCATAACAAATAACAATTCTAACAGATTAGATCAAAGATAATGAATTTGACTATTAGGGATTTAGAAACTGACCTGAAGCTGATTGTTATAGAGATTAAGAACAAGGAGACCTTGAATCTTTCCAAATGCTTCAGGTAGCAATTTCAATTTCCGACCAGACAAATCAACTCGGTCCAATGGATTCTCCGAAGCTTGCTGCAGTATACTCACAACCTCTTCATTGACTTCAACTACCGCAGCTTCCTCCTCCGCCACCGCCGCCGCATTCTTCTCGGCGGACTCATAGATCCTCACGAGCCTCTCTTCTGCTTCTTTCAAAAGCTTCTCATAAGATTCATGAAGCTCATTAAGCTTAAGGATCGAGTTATACCAAGTCTTCTCTTGATCCACAGCTTCTCTCCTCTTCTGTTCCTTCTCCGCCACGTCAATATCGTTCGGAGAGAGAGCGATCTCTTCGAAAGATTCCGACAAAGACGCGTCGATCTCGCGGAGCCTGGCACGAGCTTTGTCGACGGTTTCGTGATCAGGTCTTGGTCCTAGGGTTCGAAGAACGGATCGGGTCTGAGCAACGTCGGCGATAGCGTTAGTCATGGAGGCAAGAACATCAGGATGAGCCAAGTGAGGCATCTGAGTCACGATCTCGATAGAGTGGTTTGATGATGAAGAAGGATCGGATTTGGATGGTAGTGGGTCGACATCGGAAGAGGAAGAGGATTTGGCGGTGAAGGAAGGGAGACGATCTAAGACGTAAGAGAGAACAGGGAAGTTCTTAGGGTTAAGCTCCGTCGCCATTGTTGGGAGCTTGAAGGAAGAGACAATTGGGAAATTGGGGAAGAAGAAGCGATAATTGGTTCGTGTCTCATGTCCTTCCGTACTATTAGCATCTCTATTGCCAAGTCAAAGTCAAAGATCGATAATTTACACGTGGATATGTATTAATGCATACAAGTGTCATTGTTTTCCTACATAAACGAGAAAAAAAAAGTAAAAAAACAAAAATGCAACGAGGACAAAATTCATTCTTAAAAAAACAGAGACTCGTAATTTGATTGCAAAGTACAGATAACCACAGAAAATAATAATCATTTTACAAGGAAAAAAATTAATTAAAGTTTTAGAAGATATAACCAAGGGTTTTAGAGAAAAGTTAATCAATGTTTTTGAAAAAGTGAGTAATTTTTGTTGTTGTTTTGTCTTCATTTTAAGATTGAGACCCAATATTGGTGACACAAATGTTTTATGGGCTTGAAGGATCTTAGGGAAAACTATTCTATGAAACAGAAAAAGAAAGAAAACTATTGGGTCGCCTCAAATTTTGCTATAGCCCATTTTTTTTAGACTAATGCAATGAAGACTCTGTTTTCGATATGATAGTAATAATAACTCTTGGATTTTTCTTGAACTTTTCTAGTTATGTTTCTGTAATCTCATGATGATTCATGATGATGAAGACGATGTTACACCTAAACACTTGTTTATTTTCAACTTAAAAATGTTATCTATTTTTAAAAATTCAATTCTATTTTAAAAAGTAAACAAAAATACTAAAACTCAATATCTCTGATAGTGACCAAACAAGGAGTATTAAAATCGAAAAACGTCAACAAAACCGGTGGAAAGTTGAATGGGTCTAAACCAAACACACATAGCCATAAAAGCTTTGTCTCCATTATAGATTCTCCATATCTGAGAATAAATAAACGATTGGATAAAGTACATAGAACTTCGATCTTTTTCACAAAAACCCAAAATAAGAGAAAAAGCAAAAAAAAAAAAAAACAGAGCTTTTCAATTTCAATGGAGAAAAAGAGAAATGGTCTGCGAGTGATTCTCTTCCCTCTTCCATTGCAAGGTTGCATAAACCCTATGCTTCAACTTGCCAACATCCTTCACTCAAGAGGTTTCTCCATTACCGTGATTCACACGCGCTTCAACGCGCCAAAAGCTTCAAGCCATCCTCTCTTCACTTTCTTACAGATTTCTGATGGCTTGTCTGAAACTCAGACTAAAGATGGTCCTTCTCCGAATGTTATGTCTTTGCTTGCACAAATCAACGTTAACGCTGAGTCTCCGTTTCGTGATTGCTTGCGTAAACTGTTGCTTGAATCGAAAGAATCAGAGAGGGTTAGTTGTTTGATCGATGATTGTGGATGGCTCTTCACACAAACTGTTGCAGAGAGTTTGAATCTTCCAAGGCTTGTTCTCTGTACTTTTAAAGCCTCTTTCTTCAATGCTTATCCGAGTCTTCCACTTATCCGAACCAAAGGATATTTTCCAGTTTCAGGTAATTCTTCGTAAAAAGCTTATTTTTAAGGGTCAAATTGCTATATATGAAAAAGGTAAATAATCACCTGTGATTATGTCAGTTTGTATTTATTCATAATTGTGTTATTTTTAAAAAATGGCGTCATCTCTACTGCTAAAATAGCATGGCATGTAAATATATAATGTAGAAATAATGTTATTACTTATTACTAAACTTTAACCATTTTTAAAAATAATTTGTAACCATACCTCATTTGCCACTTGAAGTTACTTGTCTAACAAAAAAAAAAATTAAAGTTGTTCACGTAACTAATGAAACGAGTAGGTTATTTACTATGGATACTCTATTTTAAATTGTGGTTATCAAATCTATAAGATGGTTTTGTGCCTTTGTATCTTAGATTCGGAAGCAGAGGACTCTGTTCCTGAGTTCCCGCCGCTTCAAAAGAGAGATATTTCAAAGGTTTTCGGGGAATTCGGAGAGAAACTTGATCCGTTCTTACATGCTGTAGTTGAAACGACAATGAGCTCTTCAGGGCTAATATTCATGTCCTGCGAAGAGCTTGAGAAAGATTCGTTGACTATTGCTAACGAAATTTTCAAAGTTCCCATCTTTGCGATTGGTCCGTTTCACAGCTACTTCTCTGCTTCATCAAGCAGCTTATTCACACAGGACGAGACTTGCATTCCTTGGTTAGGTAATCAAAAGGACAAATCCGTTATCTACGTGAGTCTAGGAAGCGTTGTGAATATTACGGAAACAGAGTTCTTGGAGATTGCTTGTGGTTTAAGCAATAGCAAACAGCCTTTCTTGTGGGTAGTACGACCCGGTTCAGTACTCGGCGCGAAATGGATCGAACTGCTCTCTGAAGGGCTCGTTAGAAGCCTTGAAGAGAAAGGAAAGATTGTGAAATGGGCACCACAACAGGAGGTTCTTGCGCATCGAGCCATTGGAGGGTTTTTGACACACAATGGTTGGAACTCAACGCTAGAGAGTATATGCGAAGGGGTTCCTATGATCTGCCTACCTGGAGGTTGGGATCAAATGCTGAATTCAAGATTTGTGAGCGATATTTGGAAGGTCGGAATTCATTTGGAAGGTCGGATTGAACAAAAGGAGATTGAGAAAGCTGTGAGGATGTTAATGGAGGAAAATGAAGGAGAAAAGATTCGTGAGAGGATGAAGGTTTTGAAAGATGAGGTCGAGAAATCGGTTAAACATGGTGGCTCATCTTTTCAATCTATTGAGACTCTAGCTAATCATATACTATTGTTGTAAGTTGGGAATATTTGCTAAAGATACCGCAACGTTTCTATAAAATGCAAAAAAGAAAAGAACTTGATTATATTTTCTGTTGTCAAAAATAAACCTAAAATTCAAAACAAACTCATTGCTATTAAACTCTTAACTGGTCTCACTTATGACAAAAGAAAAAAACAAACCAAAAGAAAAACATTTCGTGTCATAGTCATGTACACTTGTCACTTAACGTTTATGTCTTTGCTAGTGAGTAGTGACGTAGGCCAGCAGCTGTCTAATTGAATAGTCTCCATTCTCCAAAATCATTGTTTTGCTTCTGCAGATAAGCAAATTGCAAAGAGAGGAAGAACGAATGGAGAAGAGAAACGAGAGACAAGTGATTCTCTTTCCTCTACGCTACGGCTCTACCATTACAAGGTTGCATAAACCCTATGCTTCAGCTAGCAAAGATCCTTTATTCAAGAGGTTTCTCGATCACCATCATTCACACGCGCTTCAACGCGCCCAAATCTTCCAACCATCCTCTCTTCACTTTCTTACAAATCCCGGACGGCTTGTCCGAATCTCAGACTCAATCTCGTGATGTTTTGCTTCAACTCACGCTTCTCAACAACAATTGCGAGAACCCATTTCGAGAGTGTTTGGCTAAACTCATCAAACTTAGTTCAGATTCAGGAACAGAGGAAAGGAAGATTAGCTGTTTGATCGATGATTCTGGTTGGGTTTTCACACAATCCGTGTCGGGGAGTTTCAATCTTCCGAGATTTGTCCTCTGTGCTTATAAATTCTCATTCTTTCTTGGACATCTGCTTGTTCCTCAGATTCGTCGTGAAGGGTTTCTTCCAGTACCAGGTACGGCTTCGACTCATAGTAGATCATTGTGTTCTTATTGGTAATTGAGACTATTGAGTCATCAAGGAGACAATTTAAAGAGATTTGAGCAATATTCAAAGATGCAAAGGAAAAGATTTTTGTCCGTATTTCTTGAACTTTCATAGGTTTGTTTCAGATTCGGAAGCAGAGGATCTAGTTCTTGCGTTTCCACCGCTTCGAAAGAAAGATCTTGTGCGAATTATGGGAACCAGTGCTCAGAGTAAGCCTCTCGATTCTTACTTGCAGAAGATACTCGAAGCGACGAAGCCAGCTTCAGGGCTCATAGTTATGTCATGCGAAGAGCTTGACCAAGATTCACTTGCTGAGTCCAAGTCCAACAAAGTCTTCAGCATTCCGATATTCCCCATTGGCCCATTTCACATCCATGACGTGCCAGCCTCGTCTAGCAGCTTGTTAGAACCGGACCAGAGTTGCATTCCATGGTTAGATAAGCACGAAACGAGATCAGTAATCTACGTGAGCTTAGGGAGCATTGCGAGTCTCAGCGAGTCTGACTTCTTAGAGATTGCTTGTGGACTAAGAAACACTAACCAATCCTTCTTGTGGGTTGTCCGGCCTGGTTCAGTCCATGGCAGAGATTGGATCGAATCGTTACCTTCAGGGTTCATGGAAAGTCTCGAGGGTAAGGGAAAGATAGTGAAATGGGCACCGCAGCTAGATGTTCTTGCGCATAGAGCCACGGGAGGGTTTTTGACGCACAATGGATGGAACTCGACGCTAGAGAGTATATGCCAAGGAGTACCTATGATCTGCTTGCCTTTTGTGTGGGACCAATTTGTAAATGCGAGATATATCAGCGAAGTTTGGAGGGTTGGGATACACTTAGAAGGTCGGATAGAGAGAAGAGAGATCGAGAGAGCTGTGATAAGACTAATGGTTGAGTCGGAAGGAGAGGAGATTCGAGATAGAATCATAGTCTTGCGAGATGAAGTAAGAAGATCGGTTAAACAAGGAGGTTCGGCATCTCGATCTTTAGATGAGTTGGTTGATCGTATATCAATCTTCATCGAGCCACTGGTGCCTACCTGACACATGGAATCACAGTAATCCAAATCGCATGCTCACGCACTCGCACATGAAACGGATTGCCATTCGGAGCCATAGACGCAGATAACAATATGTTAAAGAGTTGTATGTTTGCTAGATGTTGAACAATTTAACCATGAGAGAAAGTCCAGAGCACAATAATCATTGCACTAATTTGTCCATGAACTTGATTGCAATGACTAACCACTGCTTTGAATATATCAGTTTACAATTTCTTTTGTCTAGTTAGTAATTAATATCATCTATCTTTTTCGAAATTTTTTAAAAAAAATGTCAAAGAAAAGATATTTATTGCGAATATCTTTGTTGGAAATCTATTTTCAAAAAACCTACAACTAAGAAAGAAGTATTTCAAAAATATTACTTTATATAACATATCTCTTAAAAGGTTACCTTCTAAATTGTTTATAAATACAATTTTATACCTATCCTATAAAACTTTTTCATAAAAATTATAACTATCTTATAAATCGTAAAAAGCGGTATTTTGAAAACACCAATATATATCTCAATCTTCTGAAGCGTGAAGAAGATTGAGAGTTCTACAATATTTTTGGTAACATAGACCATTTTATTTTGTGTGGGTCCAAGTCTCCAACTATCTGTTTGTGTATTTGATACGGCCACGTTATATATGCATTTACTAGCTAGCGACTGTTTGATACGGCCACGTTTAAGCCCAAATGTGTTAAGTAGTATAATGCAACCTACAAGTACAACGAATCTGGTCATTCCTTATCAAACCAGTTTAATAGTATAAAATTAGACCACTTGTTATGGTGCTTTGTTAGTTGTAAAGCTGAGTATTTTGTCTCCACCCGAGAGTGAAAACAGATCTGATCTTTCTTTGTTATCATATCGAGAAACGTAGAGTTTTGGTGTCCACTCTCAAAGTAATAATAATATATACTGTACTAATTTTTTTTATGTTATTTACATTATAAGGATTTTTTGCATTTGGATCGAAAGAAAAAGAAGGAGAAAGAAAGGTTCAATGGAGAAGAGTAATGGCCTGCGAGTGATTGTGTTTCCACTTCCATTACAAGGCTGCATCAACCCCATGATTCAGCTCGCCAAGATCCTCCACTCAAGAGGTTTCTCCATCACTGTGATCCACACGTGCTTCAACGCGCCAAAAGCTTCAAACCATCCTCTCTTCACCTTCTTAGAGATCCCAGATGGTTTGTCCGAAACAGAGAAAAGAACTAACAATACCAAACTTCTCCTAACGCTTCTCAACCGGAACTGTGAGTCTCCGTTTCGTGACTGTTTGACTAAACTGTTGCAATCTGCAGATTCAGAAACAGGGGAGGAGAAACAGAGGATTTGCTGTTTGATCGATGATTCTGGATGGATGTTCACACAACCCATTGCTCAGAGTTTGAAACTCCCGAGATTGGTCCTTAGTGTGTTTACAGTCTCCTTCTATCGCAGCCAATTTGTTCTCCCTAAGCTCCGGCGTGAAGTGTATCTTCCGCTCCAAGGTATTGTTATTTCTTACATTTTTGGTATAGAACAAGCAAACTCGTTTTCCTAAAAAAATTTTATCTAAATTTTCTCACAGATTCAGAACAGGATGATCTAGTTCAGGAGTTTCCGCCGCTTCGAAAGAAGGATATTCTACGTATGCTTGATGTGGAAACAGAGATATTAGATCCATTCTTGGACAAAGTTTTGAAAATGACAAAGGCGTCTTCAGGTCTTATATTCATGTCATGTGAAGAGTTGGACCAAGACTCAGTGAGTCAGGCACGTGAAGATTTTCAAATTCCGATATTTGGGATTGGACCTTCTCACAGCCACTTTCCAGCTTCGTCTAGTAGCTTGTCCACACCCGACGAGACTTGCATTCCATGGTTAGACAAACAAGCAGACAAATCCGTGATTTACGTGAGTTACGGGAGCATCGTGACCATCAGTGAATCAGAGTTAATGGAGATTGCTTGGGGTCTAAGAAACAGCGACCAACCCTTCTTGTTGGTCGTACGGGTTGGTTCAGTCCGTGGCAGAGAATGGGTCGAGACAATCCCGGAAGAAATAATCGAAAAGCTTAATGAGAAAGGAAAGATAGTGAAATGGGCACCGCAACAAGACGTTCTAAAGCATCGAGCCATTGGGGGATTCTTGACACATAACGGTTGGAGCTCGACGGTTGAGAGTGTTTGTGAAGCCGTCCCTATGATCTGTTTGCCTTTCCGTTGGGACCAGATGCTAAATGCAAGATTTGTTAGCGATGTATGGATGGTCGGTATAAATCTAGAGGATCGGGTTGAGAGGAATGAGATCGAGCGAGCGATAAGGAGATTATTGTTGGAAACTGAAGGAGAAGCCATCCGAGAGAGGATAGAACATCTTAAGGAGAAAGTAGGACGATCGTTTGAACAAAACGGTTCGGCATATCAATCTCTACAAAATTTGATTGCTTATATATCATCTTTCTAGCCATTGACATGTTTGTGTATCAGAAATATCTTCCTTTGTGTGTTTTGCATTGTTGGAATAAAATCATCTTCTTAAGTTGGAATATACACATATACTTACCACCAGTTATTTTATCAGGCAACATTTTATTATTATCCTGCAACCTACTCAACGGATCTTGTCTTTTTTATTTATTTATTTATTTCCCTTAATTAACTATAAAATAAAATAAAATTAGACCACTAGGTTTTTTTTTTACCAAAAGTTAGACCACTAGTTACATACTTACAAGCCCTAGAGGGAAAACGAATCTGGTCTTTCTTTATTAGCACATCAAGAAGAGTATAGTTTTGTCTCAGTCTCAACGTGATAACAATATATATAGATATCTCTTATCAAAAGGGATAATAATAGCAGCATTCACTGAGATATCAGGAGATCTACATTTGGACTGAAAGTCAAAAGGAGAAAGCTTTAATGGATAAGAGTAATGGCCTGCGAGTGATTCTGTTTCCACTTCCATTACAAGGCTGCATCAACCCCATGATTCAGCTCGCCAAGATCCTCCACTCAAGAGGTTTCTCCATCACTGTGATCCACACGCGCTTCAATGCGCCAAAAGCTTCAAGCCACCCTCTCTTCACCTTCTTGGAGATCCCAGATGGCTTGTCTGAAACAGAGACAAGCACTCACGATGTCACACTTCTACTAACGCTTCTCAACCGGAACTGTGAGTCTCCGTTTCGTGACTGTTTGACTAAACTGTTGCAATCTGCAGATTCAGAAACAGGGGAGGAGAAACAGAGGATTTGCTGTTTGATCGATGATTCTGGATGGATGTTCACACAACCCATTGCTCAGAGTTTGAAACTCCCGAGACTGGTCCTTAGTACCTATAAGCTATCCTTCTTCAGAAGCCATTTTGTTCTTCCTCAGCTCCGGAGTGAAATGTATCTTCCATTACAAGGTATTATTTACTTCTCACTTTACCAAAAGCTGTCTTATACTATGAAATAATCTATCAACATTTGTGCACATATGAATTTACATTTTAGTTCCATTCGTTAGTACAAGTCTTTTTTATTTGCTAACTGCAAAAATTTTGTAAATGTAGAACTTTTGGTCACAATATATAAGATTTTTCTAGATTTCATAAATTTATTTTTGTGGTGTTAGTTTCAATAAAGATAATCTTTATATTATCCCAATTGTTTAAGCAGATTCAGAACAAGATGATGATCCAGTTCAGGAGTTTCCACCACTTCGAAAGAAAGATCTTTTACAAATTCTTGATAAAGAAACGGAGATACTAGACTCGTACATGAAGATGATTTTGGAAACGACAAAAGCGTCTTCAGGTCTTATATTTGTATCCTCCTGTGAAGAGTTGGACCAAGACTCACTGAGTCAAGCACGTGAAGATTTTCAAGTCCCGATCTTTACGATAGGACCTTCTCATAGCTACTTCCCAGGCTCATCTAGTAGCTTGTTCACAGTGGACGACACTTGCATTCCATGGTTAGACAAGCAAGAAGACAAATCCGTGATTTACGTGAGTTTCGGGAGCATCGCCACCATTGGCGAAGCAGAGTTCATGGAGATTGCTTGGGGTCTAAGAAACAGCAACCAACCCTTCTTGTGGGTCGTGCGGGATGATTCGGTAGTCCATGGCACAGAAAGGATCGATGCAATCCCGAAGAAGTTCATCGAACAGCTTCATGAGAAAGGAAAGATAGTGAATTGGGCCCCACAACAAGAGGTTCTAAAGCATCGAGCCATTGGAGGATTCTTGACACACAATGGTTGGAACTCGACGGTTGAGAGTGTTTTTGAAGGCGTCCCTATGATATGTTTGCCTTTTGAATGGGACCAATTGCTAAATGCAAGATTTGTTACTGACGTATGGATGGTTGGGCTGCATCTAGAGGGTCGGATTGAGAGGAATGTGATTGAGGGAGTGATAAGAAGATTATTGTCGGAAGCTGAAGGAAAAGCAATCCGAGAGAGGATGGAACTTCTTAAGGAGAAGGTAGGAAGATCAGTTAAACCAAATGGCTCTTCATATCGATCGCTACAACATTTGATTGATTATATATCATCTTTCTAGCTATATTATCTGTTGTTTCTTTGTGTTCTAATTTTTCAGTTGATCAATTGTTTGTGTATTCAGGAAATTCTTCCTTAATTTGTGTTTGGCATTGTTGGAATAAAAGTTGGATTATGGTTTACAAAAAAATAATGTTGATGGAATATAAAACAAATCCTTGTTATTTTAAATCTACTTCATTGATGTAAAAATCAGTGAGGAATCTCTTGATCCTATAACAATGAACCCATAAACAAATAAAACCTTTTTCACTTATGCTTTTAGGATTTTTGATCATACGGTTTGGCTTAAGTTTAATTCCTAGTCATTGACACCTCACTTAAACAATGACACACTCAAATGGATATGCGTATTTGAATACTTACCAAAGTCTTCCTATTTTGGTGCAATTTAGTTTCCTATTTTCTTGCAATACACAAACTTACCGTAATTAATTAATTAATGTTTAATATATATAACCTACTAACTAACATAGGATTTACTTTCATACTACAATTTTTTTTGCACCATTTCCTTTAAGCTCACCCACTCCACTCACACAATCATGCGATCTTTTGCGCCGTCACCATCCCCCGCATACATCGAAAACAATACGCATCATCATCTACATGAAGACTTCACTCTTATGATCATCGTCTTCGTTTTGTATGGCATTGTTGCCATAAGGTATGCAACCTTTAATGATGGTTCTCGTGGAACTAATCTTAGCTTCCAGAGACAGCTACCGCCACCGCAGCCGCCAATGTGTCCACGGCAGATTGAGGCGATGATTAAGGACATAGTTGTGGACGTGGAATTGTGTTGTCCAATATGTCTTGAGGATTTGAAGAAGGTTGATGATAATAATGGCCGTGACGATGATGATAAAGTCGTGGTTTGTTTATCCAAGTGCAATCATAGTTTCCACATGAATTGCATTTTTTCTTGGCTTAGACAAAGTCAGGATTGTCCCATTTGTCGCAGCTCTGTTTATAGAGGTGAAGTTACATTGATCAATAATGGTGTAGGACTAGGAGATCAAGCCTTATAATTTTAACATAATTTTGGTTTTCGTGTTTCGTTTATTATCTTCACTCACTAGTATTATTATTTTTGTCATAAATATCACTTCCTATTTATTTCTATCGTTCTTTAATTGAGTGAACAACGAAACAGTCGATTAAAAGTTTGAAAATCATTCTTACCAAAAAAAAAAAAGTTTGAAAATCATATACAGAATTAACGACATAACTAGCCATATTTACTACTCTACCCTTCGTAATGGAGATTTGTCACAAAACCACAATGTGTTTGAAGGCTAAGGGTCACTGACCACAAGACTCGTGTTTTTAAACAAACACAATCTGCAAAATCATTTCAAGTTAAGAAAAACTAAAGTACAATTCGCAAGAAGAAGATTTGCGTCACAACCACATCAATGTGGAGTGTTATATGGTCAATATTCACCAGCGTAAAAATAAAAGTAACAATCTTTAAGAATCCATGGCCAAAACGAGGAGTTAGTTCTTAATCTTAGACTCACAGGTTTGGTCCCTCTTTGTGGCAAATGTCTCTGCAACCAGCAAAGGAAAGGCTATGGTAGCATCACAGTATACCTGCAAGAATGATCCAATATCAAATATGTACTCTAAACCACTGAGTGTGGTATTAGTTAGGATGGCGAAGAATTAAAAGGGGGTTTGAATCAGACCTTAACGGTTTTAGCAGAACCCCTAATTTTACCCCAAGAAACGGCTTCATCAGGGCGTGCACCCGAGTCGCTCCCATCAAATTCTTGCCCGGTGTTTATGAATACAGCGTAATCCGCACCATTACGCATCATATTGGCATTACATATGTGGTGCTTTGGCAAGCCCCCTCCAAGGATTATCATCCCTGTCTTTCTCGGAGTTGCATGGACAGCTTCACCGTTCATAGCTCTGATATCTGTTCATAAAACGTTAACATGTTCAACGACCATATCCATCCAACATTAAACAGTAAACATCGTGATAAAATTCAAACAGATAAGTCCTTTATTCAAATCACCAACAGACCAAACTATAGAAGAGTTTGATTAACAACTAACAAGATAATCATTCTATAACTCTCAACCTAGTGCCCCAAACCAAAATCAGAATGCCCCTATGCTATTCTCCTAACTCCGTTTAAACCTTTAGCTATCAATTAAAAGTAAAGTATGTTGCTGAACTGGAAAAGCTACAATTCACTGCTAGACTGCTAGTTACAATAGTCCTCCACTTGATACAGCACAGATATTTTACAACAATGACTCATTGAGTGAAACGAAGAACCTTGCACTACATCGATGATAAGGCCAGAGGTACGAAAGGAGTGAAAATACAGCATATCTCCGAGAGAGCCATCTGTTAACCCCGGGCAGAAAACTGGAATATTCATCTACAAACACCACAAGAGGCAGGAAATATTCAATCCCTGAGTTCCTCACAGAATGCTGAAAATACTAAAAAGGGTAAAGATTTTGGATACCTTGTATGCCCAATAAAGGTATGAACTCTCATTGTTGATTTCTTTTCCCAGCCGTGCTAACAGTTTAGAAGGAGTCCACAACACATTCTAAAAGGAAAAAACAGAGAAAGAAGGATTCATCAACAAAGATATGATGCAAGAGAGGAAGCAAAATCTATCTCCACTCATTAAACTTAGTGACGCACAAACATTAGCATTCTGAATAACTTCAACAACACAAGGTATGATTCACAGAGATTCAATACACCGGCAAAACCAATCAAATCCAAGGAAAGATCGAGCAATACCTCTTCTTTCTGTTCCTTCAACATCTCATCAAATATAGGAATGATCCAATCCTCAAACTTGCAGTAGTTATCATTAGGAACGAGCAAGTTCCCAATTCGGTTCAATCCCTTTGACCGTAGATAAGCTCCAGGTAGAGAGAAATCACCTTTAAATGTAGGTGCAAGGCATTTAATGAGATCTTCCTCAACACCACCAGTTGTAGTGACTATAACATCAACCTGCAGAAAACCATTGAAATCAAACTAAAGCTCGAAAATTTAACGTCTATGAACAAGGGTGATAAAGCAAAATTCACAAACCATATGATGCTGAACAAGATAACGAATAGTATCTCTAACACCAGAAGAAACAAGATTGGAAGTGAAACCCAGAAAGATTTTACACTTGACAGACTCTCTATACGATGGGTCTTTCTCCTCTTCACTACAGTCTTCAGCTACTGTAGTTTCATCAGCCAGTCTCCAGTCTAGCTTCAATACAAATTCAAATTTTTATTGCTTATAAAAAAAAAGTAATTTTTATTTTTGACAAATTCGAGAATCGGAAGGGAATAAAAACCATTTGATTGACGAAATCAATGGCTTCGCCGAGATTAGAGGCTTGAAATCCAGTGGTGAGCATGGATCGCATAAGCTTTGGGTAATTGACTCCCTGATTGAAATCGTAGCCTTCGATTTTATCACACTTTCCTTCTAGCGATTCGGATTCTTTGAAAACTGTTGAGTGAACCGAAGAGAAAACACGATCCTCCATAGTTGCTTCAGTGACAAAATTGATTCCCCTGGATCTGGAACTGGAAGTGTAGTGGAGGGTTTTGGGAGTTCTAGGGTTCTTCTAGTAAACGGAATAAAGATGGAACCATCTTCAAACGAATCTTTGCTGACAAATGTTGAGTTTGGTCCGAATCTAAAATCGGTTTAATGAAATTTGAGGCAAATTCCACGGATTTCGCGCGATTAGATCCGGTATTGGTATGGTTCGGTTCGGTTTGTTCCGGTATTTTTTTGTTTTTGTTTTTTCTATTGATACAACAAAGCTCGGTCACTAACACATTGAGGTGTGGGATCACTATTATTGCTCGAACACACGAATCAATCAAATCTTACACATTCACTTGAAACCAATTTTGTACAAGAGGGAATTATAACTGCAAACACAAGAATCTGATAAATTCAAGCCTATACTGACATAATTCATGATATATATATGTAAAGACGTATGTATAGACGTATACTTTTCACCTTTTGGGAGAAAACACTCAGGTTTCACTCTGATCCAGAATTCATTTGATGATGATGATGACAACTATTCTAATATCCCTTCTGGTTCCTTACATTCACCAAATTTATCTGCACAAATCCAATAAAAATAACAATACATGAACAACATGGCCATTACACAAACCAAAACTAACAGTTCGTGTGTGTTTCCCTATATTACCAGGAGAAGATCTTCATCTGTACCAAACGATTTGCGGGCATTCTCCAGGCATTTTGATGATATCCTCTCATGTATCCTGCAACAAGTCTCTCGGTCAATTCTTACTAGTATCGATTGAGTAAAGGCAATTGCACGTTCCAAGATGATGCATAACTGTTCTCTCTTGCTTTGCGAATGTCTCTTCCTAGATAGTATGAGAACTCCCATCTAAAAAGACTATATGTGATGGAATATCTGAGTATAAACCAACCTACTAACACCTTGGAACACAATTTTCCATTGTGTTTAGATTTTAACTCATTCCTAATACACTTTCTATCTTTTATGCTAACAGATGAACATGGCAACCAGATTTAACATCTCATGGAAATGGTGGAGGGCACCGATTTGTAAGTATTGAAGCAATGAGATATAACAAAAAATTACTTGGAACTGGCGGGATCTCTGATCTCGAACTCATCCCTAACAGCATCATAGCCACATATCACGATATAGTGACCTATTGGAAACATGAAGGAAACAAATACATGTAAGAAATTTTGCAAATGTGGTATTTACAGTTTGAGCTTCTAGATTTAAGCTTTTGTTAATTAAAGAATGATCCTTTTGTCTGGTCTTGGTTTCATAAGTTCCCGGAGTTCCAATGATTATAATAGAGATTATCAACATAAGAAAATCAAGGATGTAAAACTGGGGTTCCCATTTTGGAAGAAAAAAAACAGAGTCTAAGGCTAGGGGACAATTCTCACCAGTGTAGCAGGAGTCGCTGGAGTGAAGACCAGCGACAATCACTTCCTCCAACCAAGACTTGCTGCAACAGTAAAAGACGAGCATGAACACAGTGCAACTTCTTGCACAAACACTTAAAACAAGAAAGGCACATTAACACTAAATCAAGGGAAAATAATATTCTCGGAGAAAGGCTTAAGATATGTCAGTGAGCAAATTTTGTGAAGAACATGAAAGAAGCAGCACACATTCAAAATTTGTTGATGAAAGGATCTGACTAGAGCGAATATATGAGAAGAAAAAAAAGAGATAACCGACCTTAGCTTGTCCTGGTCGACTAACGCAATGGCAATATAGTTCCCCGACAATAGCAAACAAGATATCTCATGGATACTAACTGATCTGCACTGCAAAAAAGAAGAGGTTGATTGAATTTGATTTCCAAATAATTAATGGATAACACAAGGGACGATTTGATGACAAGTGAATTTCCGCAGAAAATCCTAAAACAATGCACCGATTTAAAGGGGATTGCCCGCGTATTTCAAGCAACACTAATGGAACAAAAAATAGCCAGCACTTTTTTTTGAAGACAAAAGCAAGTAGAAACGTTTGGACAAACAGTTTTACCTGTATGATAATGCCAGATTCATGTGCTTTCCTGAAGAGCAAATCCACACGCACCAGATCTTCAGGGAGCTGCTCCTGCATCATGATTGCCAAAAACGAACATCTTGAATGTTATCTACTTAGAAGAAAAATCAGGCAATGCTCATCACCATTTCACTAACATACTCGCTAAAGGCTAAAGCACACAGCATCACATGGTGCAAGAGAAACTATTAAATAAAAATTTAGAGGTCTTTGCCATCTATAGTCCAGATACCTTGTAAAACTCCTCTATGGAATAATTGGGGTTTGCTCCAAATGTTATCGTGTAGTAGGAAAATTCCACACAGAACTTCTGCAGTAAATATGCGAGATCTACAGTCCAAATGCTGCAGAAATGTCAAAAGTCGATGATAAGTATCATACTGAGATAGCATTCGCTACCAAATGTTATCATCTTTAAGAAGCAGATAGGGCACATAATATTTATAATGGGATTACACTGCTGATGACCATTTACTAAGGTATAATAGACAGACCTATTTGTGGAGCAAATCTCAGCCAAATCCTCAAGAGTGCAGCTTGCGATGCCACTTGCTCTGAGAACCATAAGAACACAAGCGAGACCGCAATCCCATGAAGCTAACTGATGTACATGAGGGACCTAATAGCAATACAAAGGACCAGCAATGTGGCAAAGAGGACGATAAGTTTGCAGCAAATATAGATTTCCTAATTTATATTGATCGGTCTTACCTCAATGTGGGAAAAGGATGGCAACCCTGCATCTCGATACTTTCCATCACTCACCAACGGATCATCGAATTGGCAGTATCTCGGAGAAGTCGAATCTCCATGTCCTTCTAATCTCCCCTGATTCCTCTCTTCAACTCTTAATAGCTTGTTAAGTAGAAAACAAAGAGGCCACATCAATTACCAAGTGCGCTGTTACGCGGTCATAAAACACACTTGTAACAGCCTACTCTAATGATCTTGTTGTGGATCCCCAAAACTAGTAGGATTAAATACACCTGCATATGCAACACAACGGAAGAATCATCAAAAAACAAATAAACTCACAACGCGAGCTAAATCCTTCAGAAAAAGCTCAAATTCTTGAAACTGAAGCTACCTCAAACCTAAACCCCTAAAACCATGACTTTTCTTCGACAACAGAAATCTACCTAAAAGGGTTCAACGAAAAGTACCCAAAAGAAAACTTATTGAATCCAAAAACCCAGTTTTGATTAAATCTCCAGTGGCACCAACCAGAAAGTCTCACAGTTGCGAACCAATGACGCTGAAATTCATACAAGATGCGAATCTCTAAGTGACTCAACCCAATCAAAACCCAACATTTAAAATCGAGAAATCTGTGATCGGGTTCGTCAGGATTGTACCAATCGATTGGAGGGAGAGAGAAGAAGAAGAATATACCTTTGCTTAAGATGCAGAGAGACAGCGAGCGAGAGATGATTAGAGAGAGAGAGAGATTATGGGATCTGCAGCTTGGTGGCTTTAACCCAGATGAAGAAGAGTTTTGTTACTCAAATTTTCTGGGGAAATCAAAAAGGTTTTGGATAAAGGAGACGAGGAGCGGTATCTTCACGTTTCTCGTGTTTTTTTTTGTTGGTTTTGGTCTTGGGATAGCGACGAATCCTGAGATTGTTCTAATTTCAATATTTTCTTCTTGTTATTGTTGTCTTGTTCTTCTTATTCATCCTTCAACTGTTTTCTTACCAAATAAATGGCAGCAATAAAACCGTTCAAATAAGTTGGAACGTGATTTTTCACGTTCTAAATATCTTCAAAACGTGATTTATCAATATTTCACCGTTCAGAACATGAAAATCGTTTACCACTTTTCACGTTTCCAAACATGTTTTTGATTTATTTTATTTTTAATTCAAAAAAAAAAACTAATAATTGTTGTATTAGTCTATAGGGTTTTATGCAAAAAAACCCTCGAAGTAGCCAATATTTGCAAGAAAACCCTCCATCTCAAATAAATGCAAGTCAATACCACCATCTCAAAAGTCACCCGCAATATAGCCCTCGCGTGTATCGATGACGTGGCAGCCGTTAACTCCGTTCCAAAACGTCACGACGAGTGAACTTTTGTGCAAAAAAAACCCTCAAAGTAGTCAAGTTTTGCAAGAAAACCCTCAAAGTAGCCAAATTTTGTGCAAAAAAAACCCTCAAAGTAGCCAATGTTTGTTTTGAAAAAGCGACTGTTGGAGAATTCGATTGTACAGGGAAGCAAAGGAAACAATATGGTAATAATCGATTTTGATATCTTCTTAAATTTCTGATCATTGGCATGATCAAAGTAAGACATGGTGGAGCCATTTATAGGAGAAGGAAAAATCTAGGGTTTAACAGAAGAATTCTGTAAAATTTACATAAGTTTTATGTAAAACCAGAAAATCTTCTGTAAAAGCCCAAATTCGTCGCAAAAGAGACAAAATATTTAGTAAGGCTCAGAGCCTCGAAAAACGTGCAAGCCACGAAATCAACTTCTGTAAGACTCAAAGCTTCGAAAAACGTGCAAGCCACGAAATCAACTTCTGTAAGACTCAGAGCCTCGAAAAACGTGCCCGTCACGGAATCACCTTCTGCAAGGCTCAGAGCCTCGACAAAACATATATTACTTTTCTAAAAATCATAGCTAACTCTTGCGTATATTTCGTATTCTCGTTCACTCGAATTCCATCTCTGTAATCACAGAAGCACGATTATCGTTAATAAGAGAAATATCTCCGTTCGCTCCCAAAAACTCGTACTTATTTATTATTGCAACTTCGGTACGAACAATAGGGTGGATAGATTTACATACAACAATTTTCATTTTTGGGTATTATAGGTAAACCGGAACCCGTACCCGAATTTTAAAATACCCGAAAGGGTTTTTTTGCAAAAATTGGTTTAATGAAGGGTTTTTTAGCAATTTGGCTAATTCGAGGGTTTTTTTGCACAAAACCCACTGACGGAGTTAACGGCTGCCACGTCATCGATACACGCGAGGGCTATATTGCGGGTGACTTTTGAGATGGCGGTATTGACTTGCATTTATTTGAGATGGAGGGTTTTCTTGCAAAAATTGGCTACTTCGAGGGTTTTTTTGCACAAAACCCTAGTCTATATAACATGATTTTTTTGGTAATTCAAAAAGATTTATCAATTAAAAAAAAAACTAATTAGTATATTAGTCTATTTAAAACAGTTAAAAGTGTTTTATGTCTATTCTATGAAACCCTCTATTCATCTATAATATTTTTGTTATTCAATAATATTATGCGATTTAGATATCAATCTCACCGGCTAATGCTTACAATAACAAAATTTTGGTCGTTATATATATATATATTTTTTTTTAATAGGTTGTTTCAGTGAAGTTTTTCAATCTTTCTGATATCTTTTCTTATGAAATTTATGGTTGCATTTATTATGATTAGTGAGTTTATTCTTAAGGTTGAGGTTGGCATATGGTTAAACAACCCTATTGCTTGATGCTTAATTAGTTTATGTAAGTTAAACCTGTAGTTAGATCTTAAGATAATATATATGTATGCAACCAGCGCAACAATTTTGAACCATATGTTAAGATAGTTTCTATAGCAATTCAATCTCATGGTATGAGTGACTATGTGAGAATTGAAGTAAGGTTTAGACTTCGTGCTCTCAATTATTATCACTTATCAAATGTGATTGAGTTTGAAACCTAAAACCTAGTGTTTGTATTTTGTAATCCATCTAGTGTATGTTAAATTTGTTTACCTTAAAAATTTAACTTAGCTCAACACCGACCAAATACGATCATTTATTTAGACTCCATAAACTTTCACGATATTTTGGTTTTGAGTACTATAGTTTATCTAATTTGAATGGAACATCAAGACATTCCAATTCAACTGCGATCCGTCCCTGAATAGAAGAAAACGAATGCTTGTCTATGGATTGCATTTTGCACCTATATAACGTGAGAGAATTCATGGTCGGGAAAGTAAGAAGAAATGGAACTGAAAACGGGGCCAAAGCTTTTGTCCAATATCCATCGATACTAGTAACTAAAATATTTCTTTATCTCCAAAATAAAGAGTCTATAGGTCGGTCGTTTTCCTTTGAATTCAAACCTCTTACGAGATTTTTTTAAAAATACCGTAAAAAGGAAAAGTCTATAAAAGGTGTATGAAGACAATATTATATGCCAAAAAAAAAAAAGTATGAAGAAGACATGGGTTTGAAAACCGAGATTGAATGTAGAAGGCGGGACTTGGAACAAAACAAAGAAGATATTATTAAATCATTAAGAGAGAAGAAGAATATGAATATAGATCGATATCAAATTATCAATACCTTTAATTTTTATTTAAAAAGGAGTTAAAATTACAACATTTGGGAAAAGTAAAAATTATGTGAGTGCTGTGTCCAAAAAGTCAAAAACCTGTCACTTTAATAAAAAGTACTATACCTATACACAAGTTCATTTGAATTTGTGTAAAACACATCCGTTATGCTGCTAACAATTCGAATTTAGACAGTCCATAACCTTGCACTTTATTTTACTAGTAATCAACAGTATCGCTTTATTGAAGTTCAAATTTTAGAATTGTTAGATGTGATGGACATGACAAAACAAAATCCTAAAAATTATTTGTTGTTTTTTTATTAATGAAAATTATACCTTTCTTCGAAAAAAGTAACAAATTGATTAATCAGATAAATAATGGATTTTACTCATTCAAGTTTCAAATCAAAGAGTATTTGTTGTTCACCGGCTCTCAAAGTCAATAATAAGTCATTAAGCTACGCCTAATTGTGGGAGGTTAGGCCTTAAACGGCTACGAACTTGAAACGAATAATCGATATGGGACCATGCGTTTGAATAAGATGCTCGGATTACTATATTGCATACTAGAAACATTCATATTAACGAAAATGCCACTCACTTACCCTTTGCATTATTTTCTGACAACAAACAAAAAGATGGCTGCATTAAATCCACTTAATCCTTTTTTATTTTCAACTCTTAATTCTTAATAATGGCGGCCTACGTGACATTTTTCAAGAAGAATGTCTCCACTTTCATACTCTGCATTTATTAATCTTCGGATAGTGGTTTTGTTTATATATATGTGCTCAATTATAATTTGATAAAACTTAAAATTGAAATTCAAACGTATCTTAGACTCTTATGCACTTCAGATCATCTACACGGTCCAACATAAAAAAAACAGTAGAAGAAATGATCAATTGTTTTAAATAATTCTGAAATTAACCATCTTAATATTATAATGTATAACCTCTGTGTGTTTAACTTTTAACTAAAACAATTTAAACTTATTTTTAGTTAATATGTCAATTTGGTAATTCACCTGTCTCATTTACATAACTAATTATTGCCTTATCATTTATAACCACACCAAATGCTATTTGTGGTAAAATACTAAATTCTTGATTTAACACAATGGGCAGAACCGTAATATCCACACCATTCAAGAAATTTGTCCGCCAAAAAGATAAATTAATATTTTGAAAAAAAAAAAAGTCAAATGTATTATTACACCTCTCTCTCTACTCGTGACTGAGGAAGAGAAACAGAGAGCATAACTTTATATCAGCCGATTTTTTTCAAATTACTTACCTTTTGCTCTCACTAAAGCCATGTTCTTACCTTTATAGTGTTATCTAAAACTCTTTTGGTGTTTTGCAAAAGAAACCAGTTTTCAAAGTTCAATTTTTTTTGTTTTTAAAAATGGAGAATTTAGTGAAGAGCTGCGCAGGGATCGAGAAGAAAAGAAGCAATTTGACTCATTCGGAGGAAGATATGGTAACAGAGTCAAAGGAGAGAAGCAGCACGAGCGAATCGAGCTACGAGAGTTCCTCCGGCAACACCGTCGCTTCGTCTTCTCCACCGTCGCAGATTCTGGGTTGGCCGATAAGAAAAGCTTCATTTCGTAAGAATTCCAAGGAAAATGTTAATGTGGATCATAAGAAATCTACCCTTCACGATGATTCTGGGTTTAAAGGAAAAGAGATGAATTTTGCAGGTTAGTGAGAAAAAAAAATCAAAAATTGAAGCTTTTTTTCTCAGCCATAAGATCTCATGTGTTTTCTTTGTTGTTGATCTCATTTTTAATTAGATGTGGAAATGATGAAGGAGAGATTTGCAAAGTTGTTGCTTGGTGAAGATATGTCAGGTTCTGGTAAAGGCGTGTGTACGGCTTTAGCCATCTCCAACGCCATCACCAATCTCTGTGGTAAGTTAATAAAAAGACTATCTTGTGTTTGTTAAAATGCTTGAACCATAGTGTTGAATTTGATGTTTCTTCTTTTAGCTACGATTTTTGGGCAACTATGGAGATTAGAGCCACTTTCGAGTGAAAAGAAGGAGATGTGGAGAAGGGAAATGGAGTGGATTCTTAGTGTTAGTGATCACATCGTTGAGTTAACACCTTCAACGCAGACTTATCCAGACGGCAACAAGTTTGAGGTAAGTTCTTGATTTTGAAAATTGTTGCAACTGCAGTTGCTGGAGTTTGAATGAATCAATTTTGTGGATCTTCTTCAGGTCATGACTTGTCGACCAAGATTTGATCTTTTCATCAATCTCCCGGCTCTTCGTAAACTCGACAATATGCTTCTCGTGAGTTTCACTTGACTTTCTTATACAGTGATGAGAGTGATCCTCTCAAATGAAACCTGTTTTGATCTCAGAGATAATTTTCTTTTGCAATAGGATATATTGGCGAGTTTCAAGAAAACTGAGTTCTGGTATGTTGATCAAGGGATTGTTGCTTCGGAAAACGATGGCTCAGCTTCTTTCCGCAGAAAGATTCAGCGTCAAGAGGAGAAATGGTGGTTGCCTGTTCCTCGTTTAGCACCTAATGGTCTTACTGAAGAAGCAAGAACAGAATTGAATCACAAGAGGGAATGTGCGACGCAGATACTTAAAGCTGCAATGGCCATTAACAGCCTTGCTTTAACCGAAATGGATGTTCCAGAAACATACCTTGAAACCCTTCCAAAGGTTTACATCTTTAACTCAAAACATCCCTATAAAAACCATTCTGTTTTTTTTAATGACATTAAACTTTTGGTACAGAACGGTAGGTCCTGCCTTGGGGATGTTATCTACAGGTACATAACATCTGATAAATTTTCTGCGGAGTGTCTTCTCGATTGCCTTGATCTGTCCTCTGAGCATATTGCTCTTGATATTGCAAACCGTGTGGAAGCTTCGATATATGTTTGGCGGAGAAGAGTTCAAACAAAACTTGGAGTCAACAACAATAATACTTCAAGCACTACTCCAAAGTTAACATGGGAAATGGTCAAAGAGCTAATGGCTGCTGGTGACAAAAGAGGATTGCTTGTGGAGAGATCCGAAACTCTCTTACGTTGCCTGAAGCACCGGTTTCCATCTCTAACGCAGACTTCTCTAGACATTAGCAAGATTCAATGGAACAAGGTCCAAAACACAAATCCTCTAAATACTTGTACATTAGAAAATGGCTTTGCTTATTCATATATATTCTTGTCTTTGTAAAATTTTCAGGATATTGGGAAATCAATCCTCGAAAGCTACTCAAGGGCTTTGGAGAGCTTAGCATCAAACATCATTGCACGAATCGACGATTTACTCTACGTGGACGACTTAACAAAGCAATCAGATGGTAACAATCTGTTGTCAAGTCCAGCAGTCAGCAGCATTATAGCTCACAAGAAAGTAGTACCAATCCCTTATCTAATATCTGCATCAGGAACTCCATACAGAACAAGCTTCTCAACAACACCAGGCTTCTCTCCTTCAATGATTAGTCCCAAGAAAGGAGAGAGGAGGACACCTTACTCCAGCAAAGACACTAACAAAGTCATTGAGAAAGGCCTTCCTTCTCGAGGATTTGGAGTGAGAAGAGTCTTGAACAATTATCTTGGCATGGAATCGAAACTGAAAATATGCGTGAATCCGTCAGATAATGCAGATACAGCTGTGATTTGCAAAGAAGGTGAAGAAGAGAAGAAAAGAAATTCAACATCAGTCCATCAAAAGGGTCCTCCAAAGTACACAGTCTCTTTTTTTTTTTTTTTTTTTTTTTTTTTGAATAGAATGTTAAATTATACTCAAAAGAAAAATGTTCGTTTTTACATGTGCAACGTATGATAGAAAGGGATTTAGAAACTGAGATTAGAGAAACATATATTTGAATTATTGCCTCGCTTCAAACCAGGTTTGGAGACCTGTTTCGTAGCGTCTATCTCCACTTCCTCGAATTGACGAGAGCCTATTACGGATTTGTTTATCGATCCAGCTGATGAGACGAGCCGTAGTGTTCGGTGTGTCTCCATGTCGTCGTCCGTTTCTCTCGCGCCAAACAGTGTGCATGGTGGCTTGAAAAACGTACCGGGCTAAGAAGCTCTCCACTCGGTTCTGCCATGGACCAGAAATGCTTATGATTAAAGAAGACCAACTGTTTGAGTATTTAGCTTTGTATATCCCTTTCGCAAGAGCCTCCCAAACTTCAGCTGCAAAAGTACAAGAGAAGAAAAGGTGATCTCTTGATTCAATACTGTTGTTGCATAGAACACAAGTAGCCGATGTTCCCCTAGCCCATTTGATCATGCGGTCTCCCGTAGAAAGTCTGTTGTGGAAAGCTAGCCAAGCACAAAAGGAGAATTTTGGTGTTGCGTGTGCAAACCAAACTCCTTTGTGCCAAGTCACCTTGTTGCTTATGGTTCGAATGTGATTCCAAGTGGCTTTGGTACTAAAATGTGGCCGATACACGTCATTTTTCCCCTTCCATAAAACCATGTCCGAAGTAGCAACGCTGTTTCGTCTCCTCAAGACAAGTTCTGCCTCGATTCGGTTTAGAATGGCATTCCGGTGTCGTCTCTCTCTGCGACCAGTCCACGCTTCAGCTACCGTCGCGTGTTTTGCTATGCCCAAATCTATTTTACCCCGCTCACCAACCACATCTATCAGACTGCCCATTGTGGACCAATTGTCATACCAGAAAGAAACCTTTGTCCCCTCATTCACTTCCACCTTGCAAAACTGTTTTGCTATACCTCGATACTTGATTAATTTCTTCCACATCCAAGAACCCAAAGTGGTAGTCTCTTTGATTGACCAGAACGTGTCTCGCTTAAGCAAGTATGCATTAATCCACTTGACCCATAATGAGTTCCCGTGAGAAACAAGCCTCCATATAAGTTTCAGACAACATACCTCATTTGCGTCTTTTAGTGATCTTAAGCCTAGGCCGCCCTCTTGCTTTGGTTGGCAGACGGTGGTCCAAGGAAGTTTAGCTTTGCGCGGGTTTAGGTCAGGACCAGACCAGAGGAAAGCCGAGCAAATTTTGTCGATGTCTCTTATGCATTCTCTTGGGAGTCTGAATGCAGCAAGCCAAAAGTTACAAATGCTCCATAGAACTGATTGAATTAAGTTCAACCGGCCTGCATAAGAGAGGAAACGGGAAGTCCAGGATCCGATTCTCTTCTTTATTTGCTCGATTAGAGGACTATAATCTGCGGCAGTAAGTCGCTTAGTGACGAGAGGAAGCCCTAAGTATCTTACAGGAAGGCTTCCTACCCCAAACTGATACCTTTCCGCAATCTCTTGGGAAGATGAGTCTGAGATGCCAGCTAAATAGATAGTAGATTTCTCCATACTGATTTTGAGTCCAGACTTCTTTGCGAAAGATTCAAAGATTTCTATGATACCATCAATAGATCGAACCTTTCCGTCCGAGAGGACCATAAGATCATCCGCGAAACTGAGGTGGGTCAAACCGAGGTTCTTACACCGCGGGTGGTAACCGTATTTCCCCTTACCAGCCGCTCTATCCAACATCTTAGACAACACATCCATACTCATAACAAATAAATACGGTGATAGTGAGCATCCTTGCCGTAGCCCTCTTGAACTTTGAAAATATCCAGCGAGTTCACCATTTACCTGTACGGAGAATGAGGCTGTGGTGATACATAGCATAATCCAATGAATATACTCCGAGGGAAAATCCATAGCTTGAAGAATATTGTGGAGAAAAGACCATTGAACCGAGTCAAAGGCTTTAGAGATGTCGATTTTGATAGCACAACGTCCCGAGACTGAATTCTTGTGATAGTCTTTGACTAATTCTGTTGCAAGCAGTAGATTCTCGATGAGGAGACGATCTTTCACAAAAGCGGACTGATCTCCTGAGATGAACTTTGGGAGCACAAGTTTCAGCCTATTTGCCATTATTTTCGATATTACTTTGTAGATCACATTGCAACAAGAGATCGGCCTATAATCTCTCATCTCCTTCGTCCCCAACTTCTTAGGAATGAGAGCAAGAATGGTGGAGTTCACACCTTTAGGCAGAAAACCTTTTTCAAAAAAAGATTTAATCGCTAAAACAAATTCCTCACCAATTATATCCCAGGTGATCTTATAGAATTCCGAGGTGTAACCATCCGGTCCTGGTGATTTATCATTTGGCATGGCAAATAAAACCCTCCTAATCTCCTCTGCCGACACTGGCTCGGTTAGTTTGGCTTTCTCATCCTCTGAACATCGAAATGGTAGTAAGTCTCTCAGCTCCTCCACCGAGACTCCCTCAAAATCGTTTGGGATCAGTTGTAAGAACTCACGAAAAAATCTTTCAGCCTCTTCTTTTATTTCTTCCCCTTTCGTAGTGACACTACCATCTTGTCTTTGAATTTCTCTAATAGAATTCTTCGCCTCTCTGTTCACAACTGCTCGGTGAAAACTTTTGTTGTTCTTGTCCCCAACATTTAACCAGTGGAGTTTCGACTTCTGTTTCAAATACTTCTCCTCAATCCCCGCAATGTTTTCCCAACGGTTGTAAGCTTCTGTTTCCTCCGCCATAGCCTCTGGTGACGGGTTGGTGAGATTGCTCTCTTGCTTCTGACACAGTATGTCATACGCCTCTTTAGATTTCTTTACCAAGTTCCCCATTTTCTCTTTTGCCAGGTTGCGAATTTTTGGCTTTAAAGCCTTTAGTTTCTTCGTGAACCGGAATAATGATGAAGTGGACATAAAAATTGGCTCAGTTTCTTTCCAATAATCGTCAACCATCGGTTTGAACTCTTCTATTTCCGCAATCGCATTGACAAATTTGAAAGGCTTGTGACCCATTACCGTTTCTCCCACTGCTATATTCAGATTAATTCTACATCGTAAATGATCTGAGCATCCTCCAGCCTCAAAAACATTATACGAATGTGGAAAAATCTGATTCCAGTTATCATTCACCATGACGCGGTCAAGCTTCTTCAAGATCATGTCGTCTTCCCTCTTGTTACACCAAGTGTATAGCGGTCCGTGAGAAGCCATATCTGATAGCGTACAGTAGTTAACAGTCCCTTGAAAGTCCCGCATTCCAGAGGTAACCACTGGGTTGTCAGCCACTCTCGAATGCTCCCCAATATCTAAAGTTTCATTAAAATCTCCATAAACTATCCATGGTCTCTTGCGAATAATAGGGGAATCAAAATGATTTTGAAGATCACACCATAGCTCTTTGCGTTCTTCCACTGTATTTGATGCGTACACAAACGAACAAAAGAACTCCTCTTCACAGTCCTCCAACTTGACAGAACACGTTATTAATTGACCGCTTTTATAAAACGGACTCAATCGGACTTTGCTTCTCCACACAACCCAGAGTCTACCGCGCCTGCTATATTCATAGTTAGTCAAAACAGACCAGTCCTTGAATAACTTGCTACACAACCTCTGCGCTTTGCCCTCCTTCACTCTAGTTTCTATAAAGCAGCTAATAGAAGAAACTCGGTGTATAATTTATTATGCAGACATGGATTGATTTGTTTGATATTACTTGTAGTTTTTGTCTTATTTGGAATGGTAAAGTGTCTACCTTTGCAAACCAAATCAGATCAAAATATACAAAAATAAGAGTAGTCGTAACAAACATTCTCATCAAATTTGTTCTGGTTGGTTTACCAGCTTAATTTATTTGGTAAACAACACCAACAAAGTCATTAGTGACGTGTATAATTTAAAGTTTAGAAATATTATCTTTTTTATGTAGCTTGTGGCAACAAAGTCGTTGTAGTATAGTGGTAAGTATTCCCGCCTGTCACGCGGGTGACCCGGGTTCGATCCCCGGCAACGGCGATTATTTTTTTTTTCTTTTTTTTTCTCCTCCTCTTTTATTACCTTTCTCAACGAATCTCTCTGATTCGCCGGATCTGCCGGAGAGAAAATGACGACGAGTATTCACATCACAGCTCTCGACGGAATCGTCAACGTGAACTCTCTCTTCACACTCGCCGTATTCATCGGATTAGCTTGGAACCCTACCGATCCAGACAACAGCCTCGTAACCGACCCTAATTGCGTCCCCACAGCTCGTATGGCGGAGAATCTCGTCGCCTTCCATGTCTACTCTTTCGCTTCGTTTCTATTCTCAAGTCTCATCGCTCTAGGTCTCAAACAAGCTATGAGGCTCAACATAGCTTCTTCGTTTCACATATCTACCCGAATCGATCCTGTGGTGTACTATGTGAACAAGACTGCTCTTAGATTTGGGATGGTTATCTCCGGTTTGGGATCGGTTTGTGGATGTGGGTTTCTCATGTTGGCTTTGATTAATGTTGTTCAGATCAAGCTGGGGACTTTGGGTTGTGGTGCGAGTGGTCATACTTATGCAGCTGTTGTGCCGCTTGTGATTCTGGTTCCTTCTGCACTATTTATCTATGTTTCTCTTATGCTATATGCTTTTACTCGTTAGAGACATGGATTTGATTCCATGATTGATACAATTAGGATTATGTTTGTATGATGATGATATATGATGGAAATGAGAATGATTCTATGCTTGATATGGTTCTTATAAATCTTTGGTTTGGCTTCTGATTTAAGTTTAATGTCTGAGTTGGATAGATGATATTCTAGATTTGATTGGAATTTAGGCACTTGTGTGTGTTTATCAGGAATATTAACTGGTGGATTCATACTGATTCGATCCGAGGAAATGGGTATGAGATTATGCTGGATTCTGATGCTTGTTTGGTTTGATCTCTTGGATTATTGATAAAGCAGAGTTACTACTGTACAAAGAAAGTTTTTTTTTACCCTACTTGGAATCATTCATCAAAAATAGAGAACTTTTCTGTGTTTCTAGTTTTGTGTCTTCTGACTAAGCTAAATGATTGATTTCCTCTGTAAACTATCCCATTCCCACATATCTCCGGAACTGCTTGAGCTGAATTGTATGCATAAATAGCTTTTGAGGACTGAAGCCGTGATCAGTGATCTTCAGCTTAAAACTTGTTCTCACTGAAGGCTCATAATACTACTGATGGTATACAATTGGTTGTAAGATACAGATAAGACCATACTTTTGAAGCTTTTTCTTTGGTTTGTGCTATTCTTTTGTCATGTAAAAACACCTCTTTGCTTTCTCAAAGGTTCAAATGATTAGCTTAGAGACTAAAGGGCAGCATGATCTTACTTTAGATTAAAATAACTATGCACTTTGAGGGCTCTTAATGCGACTGATTAGGTGAAGTAATTACTATGTTCCTTTAGTGCTTCTTCCACTACTATGTGGAATTACTTTGATCCTGCCAAATCATCCGGCCATTTCATTTGCTATAAATCTTAGGTTCCATAAGTAGTATATGCATCAAGTCATCTTTCAAGAATGGACACCCATGTTTTATCTCGCATTTTTCTCCTAGTTCTCTGCATCTACAGCCTTAAAAGCATGGTTGATGGGGCTGGAGAATGTGGGCGAAATCCCCCGGATAGAGAAGCCATAAAGCTGGCTCCCTGTGCAATGGCTGCACAAGACACATCTGCTAAAGTGTCTCCAACTTGCTGTGCTCGAGTGAAACAGATGGGGCAGAACCCGAAATGCCTTTGTGCTGTCATGCTTTCTTCCACAGCTAGGAGCTCTGGAGCAAAACCAGAGATCTCAATGACCATTCCTAAACGCTGCAATATCGCTAATCGTCCCATTGGTTACAAGTGTGGAGGTAATAATATAAAAGCTTATTAACTTTTCTATTTCATTGCAGCTGCAGTTTTGCTTATCAAGTGTTTGTACTTGTTCTTTTGCAGCTTATACTCTGCCTTGAAGCAGCAGACAGAGATTCAGAGAGCAATGGACGTGTTCTTCAAAACCAGTCTTAATTATCATACACAGGTGTATGCCTTGTAGTTTCAATAAAAAATTGGATCAAAACGATGATTGATCATGAAATGCTATGACTTGTTACTGAGATGATTGTGAGTATATAACTACTTGTTGTATGCGATACATTAGTCGTAGATGCGGTCCATTAACCGCCCTCTTTAACTACCAATCCCCAACATGTAGGATTACAAACGAAAAGATGAAGAACATATAAACAAAACCAGAAGATCACACTGCAAAGTTACTGATATGAATGCAGTCTACACATATGGCCATTGCGGAAATCAAGTGGACTAGTAGTTAAGTCTATCTTAGTAATACAAAGAACCTGCATTAATGAAACAATCCACCGATGAGTTGAGAGAGTGATTTGAGAATAGAGATTACTAAGCAATTAAGGTATAATTAAGTACCTTTCCACCAATTTCCTCTGGAAGTAGAGGTGGTTTTGTCAGTGCGGTCATCGGTTTCTTTGGGCTGATGAGATGGAGAAGTGGAGGAGCCATCTGTTCGTGGAGGTGAATAATGTTGCTAGCCTCCGTAGTAAATGGATGAGCTATAATAGGATGATTCTCTCTTCTCATGGCTGCTTCTCTCATCTTTAATTAGAAACACAAGAAACAGAAAAAGAAAACCATAAATCGTCAACATCTTCCTACTTTAAACTTTTTCTACTTTTAACTTTCGAAGAAATGAGAATAAAAATGTCTATAAATTATGTTATTAATTAATTTGTCCCCAAAATAGGTTTCTAATATTTTCAAAATTTGAAAACTATTTTAGGAATTCATCCCATAAGAGAGAAAATCTGTATAATAGAATACCAGTGGCTTGAGTGATGCTGCCTTGAACTTCAGGAGCAGTGTGACTTCCCTTCTTCCTTGCTACCTACATTATAAAATTGCTTCTAATTAGGTGACCCTCAAATTAAATTCAAACTTTATAAAAAAAACTATAGACCGCATACACACACACATATATATATATATATATATATATATATATATATAGTTATATACTGTATATATATGTATGTGTATATATATGCACCCATAGGAAGATTCATGCATGGTTCTGATAGTTTCTATGCATACTTGTCGTGTAGCTAGTCAGGAAACTGCTTTCTGACTCTGTATTAATCCTTATCCATTCCCAAAAAATTACCATAATTCAATTTCATTCCAGTTGTTCTTTAAGTAAAAACCAACAAATTACAACTAAATTGAACGAAATTTGTGATACAACCGCTATATATGTTCATCAAATGAAAGATCATCGAGCTATACATGCATGTATATATCATATATGCATATAATAACACTCAACATATACATAAATATCTCTATTAAAAAAAGCATATATACGTATGTAAAATTAATTATAAAGATATACCGGAGGAGGGAAAATGGAGTCGAGTATAGTTGAACAAGAAGAAGCAGATGAAGCAGAGGCTGATCCTTTCGGACCAAACAGGTTATCAAATGAAGAAGACGATGATGAAGCAGATTTGGTCTTCTTGATGTCCATTTATGGGTATATGTAGTAATTATAATGGAAAAATATATATATCACAATGTGAGTTTTCTTGAGAGAGACTAGAGAGTGAGAAAGAGAGAGAGAAATGGATGTTGATTTCTGTTGAATGAGAAATGGATAATGATAGTTTTGGTTTTTGCCCTAACGCCCCAACGGTCTGTTATATAACCAACTACTTCTGATGAGAAGGAGATGGGTTCACGTGATCCCCACGTGGCTCTGCCGCCATCTTCGACTCTCTTCTCACCGCCACGTGTGCTTTCTCATAGATGCTGTGGATAAACTTTGCTTTTACTACTTTTGTACTCTTTCTTCTCTTCTTCTATTTTGTCATTTGGATAAGTTCTTTTACCTTCTTCTTTTCTTCCTTTATACAATGGCGAAATTAAAATCTCGTTTTTATTATTGGTTTTTGGCATATTACACTACTGACTACAATCTCTATCTTCTTCGTTTTCTTGAAATTAAATAATTTCGATCATGTGACTCAATATCGACTTAATTATTCTCGATAATGTCGCTTTTGATTTTATTCTAAGACTTGTAAGTTTGAATTACATTATTATGGAGTATGGACTAAAGGTTTATTCATTGACATCTTCAACTCTCGAATATTAAACTTTCATTTTAAAATGTTTTTATATATCGGATTATGTAGGAGACTAATGGTTGTTCGACCCTTTTTTTTATGTTAAAAATAAGAAAATGTCTAGTCTATTGGTATTGGGTCCGATCGAGAATGTCATTTATATACGGATCATGTTGGATAGTGAAACAAATTTTATGCCGTTGATGTGGTTTACAGGAATGTAAAATGCTATACTATACATATGATTAAAACCTACAAGATAGTCCACCTTTGTGGGGATTAATTTTTCAGAAACTTCATGTATTATCTCATGGAATCTATTTCCCACTTATTCTTCGTCGACAACTTATTTGTGATATAGAGCATTTCATTTCTTTATATATAATATATAACCCGACATTGATATTTTGGTCGTCTCTCTATTAACCAATAAAGGATGTATATTTCATCTTTTTACCGGAAATTCCGATCTCAGGCCAAGTATATATCTGCAGATTTTTTGACGGTGAAGTGAAGCTAAATCATATCAAAGAAGATTTGATAAATTGATTTATTCCAACAAAAAAAGAGAGGTCGAAAAGCAAAGCAAGCTGAAATCAAACAGTAGCGAAGCATATTCCACGTCAATCTCTTCTTTAATTTTGATTGCGTTTTATCTTCTCCAAATCTAGTAAGATTCGTCGTATAATTAAAATAAAATAAAATAAAAACTTGGGGATATAAGAATCAAAATCACTTGCCATTCTTATTTTGGCGGATAAATTTGATATTCCACCCACATACATGCAGACACATATATACCGACATAAAATGAACAGAAATTTTATCACACAAAAAAAGAACAGAAATGGCTTTCACATGTAAACAAACAGAAAAAGAGGACAGAGATAATGGTTAGAGTATTCTTATCCACTTTGTTGGTCCAAAATGATTAACTTCTTATATGCTTTTATGTATGTTGTTTAGCTTCCATCTTATACAAAAATATTAATTATATAGCTTATGAATATAAGTATTTAACCTATTGAAGGTTTTTATTGTTCCGAGCAGGCCCGGCCCGAAGCAGAAGCCCAACAAGCAAGGGCTTCTGGCAGCAGATTTTATAAGAAATTTTAGGGGCATCATTTATGAGATTGTCCTATAGTCTAGTGGTAAGGGTAACATGCCAACTTTTGTCAAACCAGGGTTCGACTCCTTCTGGTATTGTTTCGCTAAATCGATTTTTTTAAAAAAAAATTCGTTTTCATTTAAAAAAAAATTAAAACGAGTATTCTGTTTTTCTTTTGTTAGATTTATTAAAATTAAATAATTAGTTATTAAACAATTTAATCTCAAAAACCTAATTTTTCTACCCGTGACAAGTTATATTCTTCCTCTTGGTCCATCACCATCAAAACCCTATTAAAAAATTCCAGCTTCTTCTCCATCTTAATCTCTTACACCAATTGTTTTCTAACTTTAATCTCTGTTCTTTACTCATGTATGTCTTCTTCTATTTCTCTTTTTTTTCTTATCAAGTTTGCCATGAAGAAAACTGATGTTTCTTATCAATTATTTGATGCTTAAAGCAAGGAGGATTATCTTTTGCCATGAAGAAAACTGATGTTTCCGTTATTTTTTGCTTGTTTACAATTTTTTTTGTTCAACTCTTATAAACAAATTCAGTTTCATGGTATTTTATTCTGCGAAAAAAAAATTTTGGGGCATCATTTTTGAATTTGCTTTAAGCATCAAATATCCTCGGGCCGGCACTGGTTCCGAGCATAGTATCCGATCATACTTTGTCGGTAGATTCTTAAGGGGAGATTAATTTCTTGTTTAAGCTCCGGTTAAACGTTGATAGGCAAGTTCCAAATTTATAATTAGTACCTAGCTAGAAAACAAATTAAACATTGGTATATATGATTAATGGGATATATTCGGCTCCTATATATTGGGGTCAAATGACTTCAAGGGCCGCTAAAGAATCAGAAAAGTGGTCAGCTCATTCGAAAGTAGGAGTTAAGAATAAAAAAGTAGATAACATGAAAGGACTAAATTGCAATATCTTCTAGAGTTCGAGTAAACTATAGTTGATCGAATGATTCGAATCTCATGTATATTTTTAACTTATACATAAATAAAACGCTCACTCTATCATGGATATCAAACCATGGTGATCTAAGGATCGGCTCTTGATTCGTGTTTTACAGTTGTGTTAAGCACTAATGTCAACACTAATATGTTTCTGAATTTGAGCTTTAATATATTATCTGTTTCCAAGCCAATTCTTGCTTCTAAGTACTATTTAAACCAAAATATAACTTTTCCCTCTATTTTAATTCATCAAAGCCCAAAACTCTTTAAAATGTGTTACTTTCGTTTTAAAATTTCTTAAGTAAAAGAGAAAAAAAAAACATGTTAGATAATTTTTGTCCCTGTTTTCTTTCTCGAGGAAAAGAAAGAAGTTAACACTATAGTCGAATAAATTACCACAAAATACGTTTATGAGCTAAATTCCAGTAAATTAATAAATTTTCGTTTTTACTAATGATACTTTCAACAGAATTGTACATAGTACATTACAATAATATTTTTTAAAAAATAAACATAAAACGTTGAAAAACTAATTCTAGATTTTTAGTAGATAAAGAATATATATTTAATACATATTTTTAACATTTCCATGATATACCGCAAAAAAAAAAGATTTCCAAAACGAATTTGTTTTTTTTTTGCTATCATCATTTGGACAAGCGCTCGAGAAACTAATTTAATTTTGAAATACTTTTTTTTTTTTGTTTTTTTTTTTTCGCATTTCGAATCTGTCTCTCATCTCATAGGGTTCAAAATTTTGTTTCTGCTATTCTTTCGATAAAAAGTAGAGTTCCCGCATTTGTCCAGATTCTCAGAGATTCATTCATTAATCTCCGGTTTCTCGGAA